TCAAAGGAATTCGTTTAGTATTGCCCTACTCCACCCCTAGTGTGGACAACTTAAAAGGACAAAATACTATTGTCTAAACTAAGCTCTAGTGGTAAAACAAATGGAACAGAAATATATTTTGTAGAGATAACCTCCAAGGTTCAATATCTTGTTTTCTTATATTTTTAAATATATTTTACTTCCTTAAAAACATTCCTAAATATTTTTTGGCAAGAGAAGAAAGGGTTCTGTGCGCTTGGATAAGCATTATCAGAATTAAGGTATGACAAGTCCTCGACATGTAAATGAAGTTTGTAAATATGTACTTATCCACTTTTGTGGAGTGCGTATAAACTATTGTTGTTTGTTGTTATACCTTTGAACTACGGAATGCCAATAATACAACTATGAGTACAAATTAAGATGATAAGTAATATTAAGTATACGTGTGGCACATGGTTTTTTTTCATATTGTTAAACCAGTGTATTATTTTGGTATCCAACACCTTGATGGTTTTTGGACGTTTTTATTAACCCTGAGTCCCAAAGTCTAGTAATAATTTCTACGCTCTGATTCGGACAAATAAATATCCAGTGTTGATGCTAAAAGTAACTTAATGACCAAAAAGAAGCTGTTAGGGCATTTGATGGAACATTGAATATGAAATTAATGCCAGCTATCTGACGAGGGTAAACAGCTCTGTGACTGCAATTCAGATTAGATAGCTGAATTCTAATCAAGTGACCTAATCTAATTTGGTAAGGCTAGATCAAAGGGTTATATTTTATTCAAGAGCATAGACACGCCTTACCATCGCGTAAGCAGGCGTCATCGTACAGCGTCAAAAAATAGCGGAGTACAGTTTTCTGTACGGTAACGCAAATTAACTGCTTTGAAGCAAAAACTATGACAAGGGTTTAAAAAAATTAATTTGATGAAAACTAATACGATTTCATGTGAAATAAAAACAGCATTCTCTTAGAAATGGTTTTAACTTTCTGATTATGATAAACGTTTTACGAGCACTGTTCGGATTTTTTCTGAGTGAATCGGCCCACATAATCGACCAGAGTGAAAAAAGGTTGTTTTTTCACATTTTGTTTGGTTATTATTTTCCCTACCGTCTGAGAGTATGGATTATATTTATGAGAATATGTATTTGTTACTTACACATTTTAGAACGGGCGAAGATTCAGCAAACAACCATTCATTATGTATATTTAAAAAATATCAAATTTGTACGGTGACGCACCAGCTGTACGGTGACGCTATGCTTTGATGAACTAAATGAGACTAAGATTGTATGAAATGGAAACTCTGGAGTATGATCATTTGTTCATATATAGTGCATGGGCGCTACAGTTTAATGATATCTTCCACAGCTTAATGGAAGGTTACTGGAAATGTATGATACGGTAATGATCATGAAACCAAAAACTCTCTTGTTGCTATGTTATTGATGTTTTAAAACAAGGGATGTCACAAGTAAATCTCATCTTGCACGTGTGACTTTTTAGGATGAAAGATGCAATATCTTGCATGGGGTAAAGATGGCTGTGTAGGCTATCTTTGTTAGTCATATGAGAAAAGCCTGGTTTAGTTAAAATGATGCCAAAGCATTACGTCAACTTTCAAATAGTTAATTCCATGAAAACTAAAAATATCGAAATTAATACTTCCTGTCCGCCATCTTAAATGCGAAGGTGACGGCTGTAACCTTCGCTTGATACTTACCAGTGATAATGTACATGTAGATCTGACGCTTCTTTACCTCTTGTTCGAACTTAACAGTAAGCTTAGAGCACTTCATAAAATCTAAGGAAGCGTCACCGTACAGCTGATGCGTCACCGTACAGTTCTGATCTTTTTTAAATAAATACACTGAATGATTATTTGCCGAATATTCATCTGTTCTAAAATGTGTAGATAACAAATACATATTCTCATAAAAATAATCCATACTCTCAGACGACAGGGAAAATAATAACCACACGAAAAGTGAAAAAAACACAATTTTTCTCTCGAGTCGATTATGTGGGCCGATCCAGTCAGAAAAAATACGAGCAGTGCTCGAAAAACTTTTATAATAATTAGAAAGTTAAACCCATTCCTAAGAGAATGCTGTTTTTATTACACCCGAAATCGTATTTATTTTCATCTAATTAATTTTCTTAAAGGGTTCCGATTGGCATCCCGTATAAAAACAATATGGCGGCTCCAGGCGAATCAACTGGATCAGTCCATTTTTAAGAAATAAGGGGAGTTCTGTAAAATCCAGTTTATTGAAATTGTCTTTGAGATAAAGTAATCCGTTTATAATGATTTTGAAAACGTTATCCAAAGAGTGATTGCGTTCAAAGAATACATGTACAACAGCCAATATAAATCCTTGTATTAGAAACCGGGTTGTCTTGCTTTGTTTCATTTGTAGGATATTTCATATGCCAAGCTGTGTGCTATTACGTTATGGGGAAATTTAGATGCCAATTTTTCCTTATTATACAAAAATAGAAGATCCTGAAACTTCACCCATAAATGTGGAATTGATTTGTCAAAATAAAAATCACCCTTTTATAAATGTGTGACGATCTATAATATACTTATGCTATATAACAGTTAGAGGTGTTGACACAACGACCTCGAACCTGTGAACCCTTGAGTATTATTCCGGGATCGGGCCTTTTATACTAAACGGTGAGCAACACCAGAAACGAGCGTTCGATTTGCTAAACGATATGCGTCACCCTTTAAACCCCTCATTATAGTTTTTGCTTCAACTCAGTTAATTTTCGTCACCGTACAGAAAACTGTACTACTGTATTTTTTGACGCTGTACGGTGACGCCTGCTTACGCGATGGTTAGGCGTGATAGAAGTGAAGTGAAAATGCGAAATTAAACTATTGAAAAGGGAACCTGGTACATGTCCAAATTGTGGATGTTAAGTATTGTTATTGAAATACCTGAGTTCAAATTATTGCCCCCTATTATTCAAGTAATTAATAGACTCTGAGCATTATTTCATGTCGAGCTAATTATAATCATCTGTCTCTCAAATGTTTTGATCTCAGCTTCGTAAAGTTCAAAGATGGCTCACACATTATGCACCAAACCCTTAACTTTACCATAGATCAGAATATCTGTTGTGTCAGTAATTTTTCAATAACTTTTTAATTTCAATAAAATTCTATTGATTATCGTGTGTTGGAGTAAAGATCAACTTGGCGCCCATGTTTTTGAAATTTTTAAAATAAGTAATCGAACTAGTCCATGCAGACATATCATTAATATTCTGTCTTGCAGGTGCCTTAAATTGATATTTAATATTTTGCTATCTAAAGTGGTCAGTAACCACTGGAATAACAATTTAGAGGCAGATGGTCCGAATAAAGTCAGGGAACCACAGACAAACACACCTGATTATATTGATACGGACTATGCCCGTACTGGGGTCGTTGTGACTTTCTTCCAACTGTCAGCTATTTTAAAACATTGACGAAAATCTCTAAAATATAATTTTCAAACATTTTTAATCAGTCTGAGGTCACTTATACTTGCAATTGAATTAGACAATGCGCACTAAATATGCAATGCCCTTTAACACACACATGACATTGCAGAAACATCTGATGACATCTGATGACATCGGTTGAACTTCATGTAGACCATGTCTGGTCTAGGCTTGTAGGGTCAAAACAGGCGAGACGGCGAAAACCTTATGTTGAACAATGTATTTTGACATTCTTCTCATAAAAAACTTGGTATTACCTGTATTATGGTCTCAGGTCTTATCAAGGAAGTTGGGGGTAAAAGGAACTTGTGTGTTTTCCACGATGGAAACAATGCAACAAGAGACGAACATCCATATTCAATTCTCAAAGTAACTCATCATCACGAGCGAGACATTTATTTGATTCTGAGCCACTCTGTCATGAACAACTTCGAACACTCCGGTGTCGAGAGCCAAGTTTCAAAACAATAATGAAGAAAGTAAAGTACCCGGGGTAAATAACTTAATTAAACACAGATGTAAAGTTCATAAGTACCTGCGTTTACAGTCTACTCTTCACTAAGCAAAATAAAAGATAACAGGTGGGATGGCTCAACATTTAATCCTTGCAATTCAGCCAAATCCAACCATTTTTAAATAGTTTGATTATGTCGTCCACTGCCCAGAGAAGCTCTCTTTTAAGAAGTGAAGTCGAACGAATGCAAAGGGTATGTCGCCATCAAAAGTGATGACATATTGTTACGTTTTCATGGACGTTTTTTTGGCGTTCGATGTCTGTAACAAATGGCAGGTAGTGACATTTTGCAAGCCTTGTTTTGCTTTTTCAATTTACAAGTCATGTTTAACCATAGCCTGTGGATCTCAGAGTATCAAAGCCCTTATATATGTCCAAACTTTAATCTCCTATCCACCCCCCCCATATAATTCACTCTCACATCATCAATAGATTGGAGAATATTATACTTCAATAAACAAAAAAGTACAAAATGCAAGGCATTAATATACAAAATGTCACCCCCTGTCATTTGTTACAGACGCCGAACATTAACCGCCGAACACCGTCCACGAAAATGTTGGAACCTGTAGCAATATGTCACCACTTCTGGTGGTAACATAATAAACTACATCGTGAATAAAAAAGCAATTAAATCCACTAATGATGTTCAATCCAAAAACAATTATTCAAAATTTAGAGGGACACTACCATGATTCCCGTAATAAGCCCTCTTTATATTATGTCTCTTAGACTGTTTATTTAAATTGTTCTCAAAGCCATTGACCCCACTTTCGGTCAACAAGTGTGTCTAACGAGACGACTGCTCAAAAATAGCAAATACAATTTACATGCTGATATATCCATGAATTCAATTTTCAAATAAACGCCCGATGGCCTCTTACACGAGTGAAAAACAGACCCTACCTCTATTTAAACGCCCATGGCCGCTTATTGCGGAAAAATTCGGTGCACTATCCCTCTCGAGATTGCAAAACAAAAGTCTCTGTATACTCACATTTGCTTGTAGACTTCTAGACTGATACACAGAACATCATATCAATGGAATATAGTGTTACCATAAAATCGATGTTAACATCGTTGCAAAACACATCCTAGTCTTAATTTTCATTTACACACCAAGTGCACTGCGACCTTTACCCTTCGGAATGAATAAACCTGTGTTTTTCTATCTATAACACTGACACCCACACATTCGTTTTTATACTGCATGACTCATCTACCGCAATTATATTAAATTCATATTGAAATGATGGCCAGTCATCCACTTTAGGAAAGAGGTATAACAGTGAAAACAAAGCATGCATTAATAAAAACATTATGTAAATAATTAAATCCCCAGTGAGTAATAATAGTATTGCATTAAACATTCATAATGCATAATAAGTATTACAATTAAATTCATCTATAAGTCTTTTTATTTGTAAATTCAAGAATGTTAATTTCCTTGGTAAATATTTAGATACTAATAAAAGGTTCAATGGTATAAAAAGTATGATAATAGTCAAAGAACAATGGCAACAATTCAAAAATAAACCACAAAACCCCTATAAATCAAACAAACTATTATTTACTGGTATTATCAAACAAATATAAAAAGTCGAGTCATTTTTTCCCTGGGCCTAAAAGGTTGGTAGACGAAGCTATAGAAGAAGCTAAGTCAAACGAATGCGAAGGGAAGTCATCATACGTAATACTATACCCTTTGCATTCGTTCGACGTTTGAATGGAGAATATCCAGCTAATAGTACATATTTAACTAATGCCTCGGTCATATTTGATCTACGGCAGCCGTACTGCAGCCGTTACTTCCCAAAATCGAGGAAAATATTTAGCTTGAAATATAGGGATGAGCAGTACGATTTAGATTTTCTATTCGATTTTGTAAATTTAGCAAATGTCAAATGTAGAGCAAATGTCACCGAGGCTTTAGTTTGCATTGAGAGTACTTTCAAACCAGACTATTGTAACTATATGAGATCAGATGTATTTTTTCAGTTTTGTTGATTTTAACGACTTCATAAGTTTCGATTTCTTTTGTTCAACACAATGCGTGTTACTCAAAGACGCCATGTTCGCAAATAAACTGTAGTAAACGCAATTGAAGTATTAAAATATCATGAAACTTCAAAGTGTATGATTCACCTTCTATTTTACATTTTGTGGTGATTCTGACATTTATTTGGTTTGTGGATCTTCAAAGATCACGGCTATGTGGTTATTTTGTCTACGAGACGAAATACCTACCTGTTCTCGTAAGACACTTCTACGACCATTTGGCCTCAACACTTGACTTTCAGATCTTTACCTACCCCAAGTATAAACACTCTTTTATTTATAACTCTCCCCATCAGCAATTTTTCAATATGTTTACGACCAATGTGGAAATAACTTGCCTAATTCAGACATTCTTGGCCCTCATCTCCATTCTCCAATGCCACTTCTGGCAGGAACCTAAATATAGACGTCAATTCGAGCTCTATGATCTAAATGTTCATAACATGGTCTACCAGCTGTTATATGTTATACTATAGTTGTGTCAGATCTAATGACATTAAGTTATTTAATTTGGAGAATAATTACTTGGAACAATGCCCGGCGTCTGCTAGTACTAAATCATTAGAATATGTGCGTTCGTGTCAGGTAGAACGGTCAGTCCAACTTCATATTTATATTTGGAGGTTGGGAATCTAATTTGATGTACATGTAGTTTTCCAGATTTCTGTTTTTAATTTCCCATTTGGGTAATTAAAGATCGAAGGGCTATCAAGAAATACGAGAATGTAAATCTTTTACAACTTGAATTATATCAAACCAAATCGAATCGTTTACTATTTCTTCCCTGCATCGCTTAATATTAAAATGTATGCTGTATTTAAAAATACATAATTGAGAAATGAATGATGGAAAGGGCACATATTTACATATAAATACTGCATTTATCTTCTCAATACACGTTTCATTGACATAAAACAGTAGCCATTGATTGATGTTTGGATAGAAGCCAATGACATTGACATTTAAGAGATTTGACCTTGGCACAAAATAATATACACTGAGTGACCTTGGTGCAGTTGACCTTGGTATTAAATAGTAGATGACACAGACGATTTAATCATGACATAAAACATTAAACACAGACTATGGCTATTTTGACCATGAAATAGAAAACATTGATCATGGCATAATGAGTTAAACTCAGAAACGATGGAAATGATAGTCAATGACTTAGGTTATATTAAAATAACCTTAGAACAAAACATGCAAATTGAAAAAGATAGAAACTGACATGAAAGAAGAGACCTGGATGTATGACTCACCGTAGGACTTTCTCAGGGAGCAGACGACATTACAACAAAATACCGAATAGATAACTAAGATCGATCATCCATGTAAGCAAGGGCGTTACAATACCCGGGAATTTATCGGTTCGTGCAGTACTTGTTTGTGATAGCGCCCTCTGTAGGTCACTATGCTTATAGCCTACAGTAATACGGGGTAGGATATCGGGAATTCGGTCAGTTTCTATACGTCGATTTCGCTATGAATTGAAGCAAGTGTGACCACTTTATCCACTTAAACAATTTGATAATTGATTAAATCTTTAAACAAAATCGATAAACACGTTATACACTTCCTATCTCCTTAGAAATTAGCATGTATTTATGGATTGTGTTTTCGAACAAGGCTCGACCCACGCCAATAGGGAAATCCTTATGCTAATTAGTATGACGTCATATTTTCCTGGGGAATCCCAAGGAGGATTGGCTCCCAGAGTGCACCACCGATATTCTGTCCCATATATGGGTATGTCGTAATACAAAATTCGAATTCAAACAGCCGCCATTTTGTTCACTTCAACATTTAAATCGTGAATTTTGGTCTTATTTCCAAACGAAAAATTCCAAAACTCACAAGAAACGATCGAGATATTGGTTCGAATCTTTTGAACTGTTTATTTTGAATTTATAGTCGGTTTTAATTTCAGAAAATAACGACATTTCGACGTTTTCATTGTTGGAAAATATCGAGTTTCGATCCTGGGAGCCAATCCTCCTTGGGGAATCCTAGATTTCAAAGCCTCAGCAGTCTGTTATTGTGTCAAATGTAGAACGCTCTTTTGCAGACAGAAAATTGACAGATTTAGCTTTTAACTTTCAGCTTTGATGTTTAAATATTCTGTATTTCTACCGGACTTCTTGCTGAATATCATATAATGTTATAACTTGATTTGGACCATTGCCTGATTGATCATTCTGAAATTTTGATTGTGATTCATGATTGATTGGCAAGAAAAATAATTCCTATTGTTTTCCAGCGAAGTCAAAATGTTACAGCATGAGTTATAATGTCGAGTTTGCATCATGTTAAATTTTGCTAGTGATTAGAAGTCCATGCACAAGCATACACATAAGAGACAAACACACCCAGGCTCCAGGCCGTGGATGGAAATATAAAACTATTTAAGGCACAAACTGGTATTAATAGACCGATATGTAGTGTCTGCCATGTATTGAAGGTAAACCAATCTGCATTATTAATGTTTCTTCTATCAATACATGGATTGTGCAATAGAAAAGCAATGGCACAATCAAAAATGTGCATATCAATCGTGAATATCTCTCGGTTCATAGCTTATTTCCAACAGAATCGTGTGAAAATATGTGTCTGAGTAACAGTTATACATTATAAGATCGCAAACTCTTACCAATTATCAGCCGAATGGCTCATTTTCAACGAAATGTCCTTAAGACAACAGCCCTGGGTCGCGCCTGAGACCAAAAACTACTTCAAATAGCCCTCCCCTAATTATATTGGATAATCACATTTATGCGTGCGCGCGCAGCTCATCCACTGAACGAAACGCCACTTCCCGCTGAAATCACCGGGTATTGATCTTTCCCTTGATGTAAGTAACACTAATGCAAAAACATGACAAGCGGCATATTGACTATGATGACTGGATAATTAAATGGAATAATCTTGTCTTGAATCCTCTGGAAATCCAACTTGATATCCCGGCTCATTGGTAATTCAGCATCATATTGCGCATTTTGATGACGAAAATGATTGGGATGGAGATCGGTTTCATGATTTCCTTCCCTGGGAGGAGGGTAAAATTGTATCCACATGACAGCCATATTATTATAAATAGGAAATATGAAATATGGAATTAATATTTAGCAAATACCACTTTCGGATATAACAAATTACAATACGACATTTTACAGATTGTTCAATTTTGTAAAACAGATATGAAATTTATTAACAGAAATATAATTCACTATACTAGAAGATATTTTGAAAGTTATACTACAATTCAGAGTTCGGGCCCATCGTGAGTTTTCTGGTCCAATGTTTTTTTTCTAGCCACGTTTGAGGCACGAAAGTCCGGGGATTGAAAGTGATAGGCGAACATAAATGTGTTTGGAGAATGGACGAACGACAGAATGAGAAAAGAATGTGGCGACGTTTTAGATGAATGATGACTAACCATCCCATTAATCAATATCTAAAAATCTACATGACAAAACATTGATGTCTATGACCTAAAAGAGGAGCATTCGGAATGCCATAGTAACACGGATTGCATCTTCAGATCCATTTATTCGGATGCACATGGAATCCAAGCATTTTAGGTCTACATAATTCAGATGCGCATCCAAACATAGAATCAAAACATTTTCGGGTCTACATAATTCAGATGCGTATAGAATCCAAACATTTCGAAGTCTATTCACGTGGCCATAGAATCAAAACATTTTCAGGTCTACACAATTCAGATGCCCATAGAATCCAAACATTTTCAGGTCTACACAATTCATATGCGCATAGAATCCAACATTTTTAAATCTACATAATTCAGATGCGCATAGAATCCAAACATTTCGAAGTCTATTCACGTGACCATAGAATCAAAACATTTTCAGGTCTACACAATTCAGATGCGCACAGAATCCAAACATTTTTAATTGTACACAATTCACATGCGCATAGAATCCAAACATTTCGAGGTCTATTCACGTGACCATAGAATCAAAACATTTTCAGGTCTACATAATTCAGATGCGCATAGAATCCAAACATTTCGAAGTCTATTCACGTGACCATAGAATCAAAACATTTTCAGGTCTACACAATTCAGATGCCCATAGAATCCAAACATTTTCAGGTCTACACAATTCATATGCGCATAGAATCCAACATTTTTAAATCTACATAATTCAGATGCGCATAGAATCCAAACATTTCGAAGTCTATTCACGTGACCATAGAATCAAAACATTTTCAGGTCTACACAATTCAGATGCCCATAGAATCCAAACATTTTCAGGTCTACACAATTCATATGCGCATAGAATCCAACATTTTTAAATCTACATAATTCATATGCCCATAGAATACAAACATTTTCGACTAATTCAGATGCGCATAGTATACAAACATTTTACATAATTTACATAATAATAGTCTACATAATTCATATGCATACTTTAAGGTCAGCCGAATTATTCGAATGAACATAAAATACAAAGGGTTAATTAGAATTACGTCATCTTTTCATCTTAACATTAATTGCTCTCTGTACTCAACTTAATAGAACATTGCAATTGTTGTTTTTTCAGAAAAATAAACCAAATAGTTTTACCCAACTAAAAGCCTGACGTCTTTAAAATCTAATGTAATGAATAATATTTTTTACAAACTGTACATACCGTATTATGTTTTTGGCCATGTGGTAATTATTCTCCCGAGAGTCGTTCTACCAAATACTAGTAATGCAATCCGAGTGCTACTCGCCATGCTATCTATTTGTCCCTTACTTTGTCGACCATTGGACCAGTCGCTTTCAAGTTATCCATTGCTGGATTAGTAAACTAAAATCCAAATACTAATTTAACGCAGTGAGTGCTGTTGTCCGATTGAACACGAACAATTACAATACAGAAACGAAACGTTTTGTTCCCACGATTGTTCTTGGCTCACTCTCTCCTCCCACTGCGCTGTACAGTAGAGAGAAAGTATTTTAACAAAGAGAAACGTGCAATATTCTTCCATTCAACAATCCTGTCACTTTGCCGATATGACCCAAAGTGAATTATATCACGTTACAAGACGAGTACCCTTGATTATATACTTATTCATTTAATATAATAACAAATTCCATTGTCATATTACACGATCATTACAAATATACAGTCCCACCATATAAAGACAGCTGGACTTTTTTGGTTTCTTTGTTTGGAGAACGATTTGAAGAGCTTTTTAAACTAATATAACATTTTATTTCAATAACACACAAAGCAATGTTGAATGGATCGATTTTCTTTTTCTTCATTCACCTAATTCTTTGAACAAAATGAGCCAACAAAAATCAATCAACAAAATAGTATTGATATTTAAAATGTATGACCTGATAAAAGACGTGTTGGTTTAAGAGGGAAATTCAAAAATGTGTTTTCCGGCAATTCTTATTCTTATGATAAGCAGTGACATCTTTAAATGGAAACGTTTACCAAATACAATTTTTCTAAAACTCAAAATAGGTAAAAAAACAGTGGTCGATTTCAACATGCGACTATATTCTACTTATGATAACATTGAATAGATACCATTTATCAATGAAAGTGGTCGAAATAACTTTCACTGAAAACCTTTTATAACAATGATTTGATGTAATTAGAATGTCCTTCATGTCCTTTGAGACATGTTTTACTTCCTAAAAGGAAATGTGGATTGGGACTTTAGATACTAAATTTGGATGACCAAAATGAGCTGACATCAATGGATAGCATGAGATTTCTCACTGGGGAAATAACATGGGCAACACTAGTCTTAGATTGATTTATTTTGCATATCAAATATTGCAAAAAATTGGCTTTTTGGTGAAACATCATTAAAAAGGTATGATCATTATGCATGAAGTATTACATGCAAAATGATTTACTGTAAATAGAAAATTCATTTCTAAAAATACAACATCCAGGTCTGTTTACATTATTTCATTAACCCTACTATCACACCAAACTAGTTCTCACTACGTTCTCGAAAACGGGCTTCAACTGTGTACGAACGGACTGGACCTACTAAGAACCGTTTGGGATCTATTTGCAAACTTCATCGAACGTACTCGAACGGGTAGGTCCTCTAGAACTTAGACAATGCTCAAAATGTTCTCGTGGTCGTCACGTTCTACAATTAGAACGAGTGACAACGTACTAACGACGAGCTGGACGTACTACGAACGGAACCGTCGTTCTTCAATCCTACTAGGGACGTTTTAACAACGAGTTGAACTGTCTAAGGACGTGTTGAGAACGAGGTAGAACTTATTGCAAACGAGTTTAAACTGATTAAGAACGTATTTAACACTGCTTATGAACGAGTTAGCAAAATTATAGCTATCACACCAAACAAGTTGCCACTGCGTTCTTCAAAACTGGTTTTAAACTGTGTGCGAACGGAATGAACGTAGCTGCAACTTTCTAACTATTACGTTATTTCAGACATATTTCCCGACCACAGCCAGATTGAGCCCGTTTTACGACGTTTTCGTAGGACTGGCAAGAACGGGTAACATAAAAGCTTCAGATAGATGAATTCATGTTTATTTTATTTATTTATTTGCTTCCACTTTTAAAACAGTGGCAGATGGGTCATGATAGCCTAGTGTGGCATATTACATTCAGTTGGAAGGTTAGTATTATTTGACTGAATAGATAGAGACATCTATTATTTGTAGCTTTTACTACCATACATAGTGGTACATTCTTCAAAATGAAAAATAGAACAAGTTGACCTAATTTTCACCTAATAAAGTTTACTAATACAATACATGTAGTTTACATTATCATTAATCAAATAAAGTATATTTTATAACACAATGAATATATTCACGATTGATTCAATATTCACTTTTTATTTTTTTGATTCCCTCTTTTCTGCCCCTTACCCCCACCAAATGTTTTCCCATGTCCTTTCTTACTCTTTGTATCATTATCTTGTTTGGGACCCGTTTTTGAGTTAATCTTATTTTTCTTGAAAGTCACTTCTTTATCGATGGGATCAATGATTGTTCCTATTTTTGTGACGATCTTGGGTTTTGTGATTTCTTTAAAGGCGCCTTCTGGGTTCCACAGCTTTCCAATTGGGGCCTTAACATCACTCTCAAACTGCAGGACATTGGTATAGGGGAATGGTAACTTGCTTACCTAAAATAAGAAGATTTGACTGAATACTAGGGATAAACAAGACATTAACATGCACAATATCACCACCTGACAACACACCGAATGCTAAACACCAAACCCTGTCGCAAAAAGCCCATTACAATATGTCATCACTTCCGATGGTAAAATAAAAAGTTTCTACAAGGAATTTTCAAATATTTTTATTAAATACATTTCACTTAAATTCAATTTTTAAGATTTGCAATATTGAATCGAAATCCCCTGCATTTTGACAATTAGATGTCTATTTTCATACCTGGTGCTTTGCTATGCTGTTGTCCTTGGCTTCACTGATGATGACATTCTCTAGGTGTTTGTCCTTTCTTGGGGGCAGTGGTGGTGCCTTGATTAGAAACCTGGAACATTTCAAAATCTAGTTTAATTCCATTGATACTCATAGCATCTTTCTGTTTCACCTGAAACATGACTGAGAAGAAATGTGATGTCATGGTTTATCATGATGAGAAATGAGATGTCGTGGTTTATCATGTAAGAAATGAGATGTCATGGTTTATCATGATGTTTAATTCAATCAAAACCTTCATTGAGAGTAGTGGAGGGGCCTTTCGAAACAAACTGAATTGAAACATTTTAGACATTTTTATGCTTTCTTGTCTTGGATTTAAAATTTAATCGCAAATAAAATAAGATTAGTGTTGAAACAAAAGCATTTTATCCTCTTACAATCAATATTTTATCAACAATTATATTTCAGTTTTTGCTTTTAAATGGTTTTAAAAGATTCACTTTATCCCATTCAAACTTTGTTCATCGGGATAACCGAAAAACAAACTTATATTTATCCAATTCAAGTTTTCTTTAAATGGTGCTGCATGACCCTAGAAAACTAATATAATTCAAAATCTTATGTATGCCCTATTTAGACAAAGCCATCCTTGATCATTAAGGATCTTTATTTGGATATTTTTCAGAAAAGTATGTCTTATCATTTTCGGCAATATGTTGCGAAAAAAGAATCGCATTGCTAAATAGATGTCAGGGTGATAGAAAATAATCTCAAAAATCAAATATTGATGTACTTCAATGTGTTTACAAGGTTCAAAGAGCACACACACACAAAATATGAGAGTGTGCACACAAAATGTATTGAGCATGTATAAAATGTGAATGTATTGAGATATTTACACATTGAGACTCTTAAAGCTGCTATATGTGTCTTCATAGTCACTAAACTTTGGATGCAAAGTAAGGTATATATGGTTTAACATGTGTGGTAGTATATAAAGTGAAATGATGGTCTTGTTTTAGAATGCATGTAAAGTAGAATTTATATAAAGTATAAAGTGGAATTAACATGTGTACATGTATGTCAGCAAATTCAAGATGTCTTATATGAAAAATAAGTAACCATCCTGGACTACAGTGCAATTCTAAAGGACAAAATACAAACATTTTACAGACACCAAATGCTTGCAAATATCAGGTAGTGTTAGTGTAAAATTGGGGTCTCTCATAACATTGATAGTTTCAGCCATTATAAATGTGGTACCATGCTTCAAAATTGAGCAGAAAAACATCAATATACAAAAGACAACATACTTGCTAGCATAGGCACACAAAATTTAAAATTTGGTCTCTGAATTATGTTTTTTTAGTTTTTAGTTTTACAATTAAACAATGGTCCATTGATTCCTTATTCTAGCAAAAAACAACTATCAGTGAATCTGACTGCAGGCCTTCCAATGTTTATTGAAATGTAAAGAATATACCAGTCAGTTCATTCTAACTTTTAGGAGTACATGCTTTGAATATTGTAATATCATATGATCAGAATGACATTTCAGACACGAGCATATAGCTTTAAGTCCCCAATTCCTGTTGACTGCAGAATAACAGCTATAGTGCCAAAAGCTACTGTCATATCAAGGGCATTTCACTTGGTTGTTTTATAACAGAACGGCTTTATAAGGGAAGTTTTGTTTGCACTGAGGTTTCCCCAATGTATAAATAATACATTAACTATAGTGTTCTTCTAAAATCTTTCCCAATTGTTTTCATTTTCAAGTGGGTACAAATTGATTTTCAGTATCACATACATGTTACAATTTACACTGGAAGAAAAAAAAAGCTGATATAGTATATTATTCTTTTGTTCTACTTGTGCTGATGATAACAATAAGATCAACAATGAAACCACAAGGCAAATCACACAAACTAGAGTGCACTAAATTATTAATAGACTACATTTGTTGATGCACAAAAGAAACATTGCTTTATGGATCTCATAATACACTAGAGTCCCATTAGGACCCAGTGAGTTAAGTGTGGTATGTTGTGATCACTTAAGGGGGAGAATGTGACCAAGAAAAGGTACTAGGATCTAAAAACATTGGAGGCCTGAAAACATGTAAGTAGTGGCCTCACTTGAATTGTGTCATTTCAATCAAGGAAGACTTTGAAACTTTGACAATGACATACCTAGGGTGGTAATAGTATGGTATGGTTTGGTATGGTATAATATGGTCTGGTATGGTATGGTATGGTTTGGTATATGGTATTCCAACATGAGGACATAAACTCAACTGTGATATAATATTCAACAGTTTTTTTTATTTGTTGTAGAGACTATGCACCCCACTCCAAGAAACCCAGAAACTAGGGGGTAAAATTGAGCGTAAAATCATCAATGAAGATGAGGACTAACAGGCTATGAAGACAATGATACTGAATCAAAAGTTTGAAAAATGTGATTCAAATAAAATGAAAATATGTGGTGATGCAGATTGTAGAGTAGTTTGTGAGGCCTGAAAATACACTACAATACCTTATGTACAGGTATATTTATAAAAAACCTAAGAATGTTCAAAAAATATTTTCATTGAGTCAAATAGCAAACTGCTTAGATCCATTTACTCCAGAATGTGATTCGATTTTTTGACAGTTAAAAGCCAGCTTGTAAGTCACCAACTAAAATTCATAATTTCTTAACGTGATGTCATTTAGAAAATGTATCATATTGAAATTCTGACAACATAGGAATTGATGAGAATCATCTTGACTAAAAATGGACACAAAAACCACGAGAAAAGTTCAAATACATAGGTGTTACAGATGTTCATTATTGGATACTGATTTGTTCACATTTGGAGATTTTGTTGGCATGGAAACAAGGGACTCACAATTGCCCCCACATTTGAGAACTGATCACATATAAACATTTAACTGTACAAACAAAATAGTCTAAAAGGCCAGCTGTTGTAAAGGAATTAAAATAGTGTAGAACTATTGAAAATCACATAAAACCAGCTCAATGGAAATCATTTAAGCTCAAGCCAAATGGTTTTATGAGATAAGAATAAAATCTATAGAAAACATATCTCAAGTATTGATTTGAGCTTAGCGTGGGTCAACTGAGAGAGATTTATATCACAAATCTGCAACAGGCTATAAGTCAGACTACGAAAACCATTCCAGAAGTATTGGTATATAGATACATGTATGTAGAACGCTGTATCTTGGAGACACAGTGAAACATGTAAGTTCACAAAATTGTTGTAATTTTGCTTATTGAATGAATTAATTCAAATCACTCCTGATTTTAAATTACTTATTGAAATATATGTATATGTTGGAGAGGATAGGCACGTTATTCAAATAATGAAATTGGAAGATGTTCAGATTTCAGATTACATTTCTATGTACAATTAAATTAAACTAATCATTTTGGATCTCTCAGATGTACAAAACTGTGATGCATATTCAAATCCAATGTATAGAAATGTTGAAAACAACGCTTTAGATCATAAAATGTAAGAACATTATTGAAATATATTTTTTGAGGCTGGGATAATAGACAGATACATGTGATACAACATGATAATCAATTGCATCTCTTTATCACATGCAACACATGAAGATATGAGAAGCAAATGATAGTCAGGCCTGTTGCCAGGGGATTGGCTTTGAATAGTTTTTTAACCAGGGAGGAGAGTTGCTTGAACCCCACCCCCCTCCCTGGCTACGGGTCTGATAGTGAGACAAATATGTTTGAAGTACTGTATGTTTCGTATCAGTACATCAGGCATCAAGATATTTCTTACAACTGCAGCAATACATTGGGATAATACTTAGAATGCCATATTTATTAGTAATAATTTTTTGAAACATAATTGAAGTTCTGGATATTCCAAAACTATGAATATTTCTAATGCTCCGTAAATTGTAGCACTTGAGATATCTAGAATGACTCTAGATATACGTGTACAAGACATTGACATGCAAATTGTCACCACTTGCCATTTGTTACAGACACTGACTACAAAACATCGAACACCAGTCGCCAAACACCACCCACAAAAAGTTGGAGACCATAACAATATGTCACCACTTTTGGTGGTATCATAATAAGAGACTTCCCATAGATGTGATACCATTTTTTTGTTAAATACAATTTTCATTTATTTCAGTAATGTACCCTATAAGGTAATAAATATAAGATAATAAATATGCTATGGTTAATTCAAATATTAATTGATAGATTAATAAATAAAAATTTAGCTTTTAATTACATTGTCATGTATTTTCAGGAGTATGTTGACGTTATTGAAAAGAAAATGGCGGATGTACTGTCAGAGAGGGCCAATGCCATATATAGCCGTATTCACATTATTGGTCATATGTACACTATATCTCATGTACTACAACAAACCCAGGGTTGAATCATTTTATGAAAACTACAAGGAACCCGTTAAAGCTAATGCCTTAAGAATCCAGGAAGCCATGCCAGGAGTTTTCGATAAGATAGACAAGATGAAAAAAATGGGTAACCCCGAAAACTGGAAAATGGCTGACCTACATAAACCTTTCAATGAAACATTGAATTTCTTGAATGATAAACTAAAATCTATGAATATGACAAATGCGTTCATGAACAATATAGCATTTCCAAACCTTATTGATCTCAGGAAAAATATGCAGAAGCCAAAGCCAACATTGTTGAATGAATGGCGAAACAAGGTAAAAAGAAAACAAATGTGTGATAGGGCTTTAACACTTTACAACAACGAGTTTGCCTTATTGAATGATGTCATAATTGATCGTAACTTTTCTAAAGGAGCCATAGGTGGTGAGTCTCTACATGAGGTGTTAAACCAACTTGAGACTGATGAAATATACCAGCTGAAACAAGGATTTTTCAAGATGGACTGTGAAGCTGATACCCTTTCGGATTATACGTTTTCTGGCGACACGAACCATTTGAATGCTTGGTTGGAAGCAGTATCAACCAAGTCTTCAACTCAAGGAAAGGATATCAATAAAATTCCAGAATTAACAATTGCAATTCAACGTTATGAATATGCAAATTTCTATCATGTGATCACTGATATTTACAATGCCTTCTTGATGATGACATTCTTCGATAAACAACCAGAAAATACAAATATTATTTTTATCGATGGACATCCATTTTGTGAACTAGATCTAATCTGGCAGAAACTGTTTCACTCTGTACAAAGGGTGGGTCACTTAGAAGGTCCCACTCTGTATGAATCTCTAGTTTGGGGCATGGTAGGGTATAACAGCCCGTTAAACAGCCATGGCGCAGGGGGAATGGAGACTCTACCCCTAGCTAAAGAATTCAAAGAATTCTACCTGGGAGGGTATGGTATTCCATCAGGAGGGCCCCTTGAGCACAAACTCAACTGTGATAAGATCAACATTCTGTTCATCTGGCGTAGAGACTATGTTTCCCATCCTCGCAACCCAGGGGGTAAAATTGACCGTAAAATCCTCAATGAAGATGAGCTATTACAGGCTATGAGGACAATAGATACTGTACATAAGGTTGAGGGTATCCAGTTTGACCAGAGATCAATGGGAATTCAACTCAATTATATTACAAATGCCGATCTACTCATAGGTATGCACGGGGCTGGTTTATCCCATACATTATTTCTACCACCCCATTCTGCACTGTTAGAGCTATCACCAAATGATTGGTCCCCCTCCAATAAACATTTCTGGTATTTCGCTAAATGGAGCGGAGTTTCTCACTATAGATGGCAGAGTGATATGAGAGGCAGTGCACGTGGATCAAGAGATCCAGCATATACAATCGTGCCACCAGGCACTCTAAAGGATCTCGTCACTAAAATAATTGCAAATATGTGTAAAACTGACCAGAGTTCACAGTGATAAACAATGTTTCATAGCTTCCTGTTTTGAATATCGAGCAATGTAATAATCCTAAATAATAGAGGATTAGCTATACATCTTTGAAATCTCATTGATATATTGTTTTAATGATAACACGACTATTAAGATTATTTAGCCAAAAATGGCCTACATTTTTTGTATACACTATTATTTTAATTCTGCACTTATTTTTCTAAAGTAATGTTACTCAATTTGCCAGCTAAACCCTTTGTTGATTCTCATGGGTTTTAATGTTTTAAATGTTATATAGAAAAGTTAAATATGTATAAATGGGAAGCTACAATGCCATTGGCCCATGCACCCAGCCATGATATGTATATATAATGTATATTAATAAATTTTGATATTAAAACATAAAAAAAAAAATATATAAATGTTTGATACTGTATCATAAAAACAGAAATGCTCATGATGAACCAGGCTTTTGAGAAGTAGAAATAATTGAGGTCGACATACTTTTCAACTGGATGCAAATGCATTTCTATCAGGGTTTTTTCTCAACTAACAATGAGATTTAACATTGCTTCTACGTGTGAATGTGACATCATGTCAGATTCGAATACTGCATCTAATACCTTTTATTTATTTTTATAGACATTTGAATAATCTGTGCAGATGTGCCAATCTTTACATAACAGTGGATTTACTTGTGTCAACAATCTAGTCAAAACGTATATGATAATTCAGCCAAAAAATACAGGTTAATGAAGTATTTCTTTCAACAATTTGATTATTCATTTCATCTTGTAGTTGTTCTTACCTTTTTGTTTTCTTCTTAGATGGCTGAATACCAGCTCCTCCCCAGTCCCCCCATCCTGGTAGGGTCAGGTTGATATCTTTAGGCTTGTCCCTCTCCTCAGCTTCCTGCTTCTCTGCAGTAAAATCATCTATGACATCATCATCTGCAAAAGCCTCGGATATTGTCATTCGCTGATCATCTTCGTCCTGGTCTTCTCCATCGAGAATTTTCGGAATAGCAGATTGGTTGATTTTGGTTTCAAGTGTCATGCTGTTTTTTGGGTCAACTCTGACCTCAGCTTCCTGATTTTGATTCTCTCGATTCTGCTTCTCTTTTTTCTTTTTCTTATGGCGTGGCTTTGCCTTCTTACGACTTCTTACTTTAAGAACCTTCTCAGGAACTTCTTCATCATTTGAGTCTTCATTAAAATCTGCTAAAGTTCTCTTTCTTTTCATGGTTTGTGTTATCATTTCTTCGTCCTCACCTTCAGACTCCTCTGGACTTTCCTCCTCACTGTTCTCAATTTTTACATCTTTTCCCTTTTTATTAGTCTTTTGTTTGCTTATTTTTTTCTTATTTTCTAAAATATCAAATGCTTTTTCAATTTCATCATCAGTTTCTTCGTCTTCATTATCACTTGCCTGATCATTCATGTTATCTTCACCAGTTCCATTATTTTCCTGATTTTGCTCATCATTTTCATCACTACTGTCTTCGTCATCATCACTTGATGCTTCATTTCTGATCTCCTCCAGTTTAGCATAGGGTTTATGTTGAGAGGGTGCACTATGAGCCAACCAGGGGTTGTGGCTGCCACCACCAGATGGAGCTGTATCATCTGTTGCCATAGTAACCCCAGCCTCATTTTGACCCTCAGCCTCATTCTCACTTTCACTCTCAGAAACATGGTCCTTCTTGGTGAGTTCTCTACTGTGTTGTAACATCTCTTGAACAGAATTTCTGGCCTGAAACCGTAAATAAACTCTAGGTAATCAATATCATCAGAAAAAATCATAAAAAATATTCAATGTTTAACTTAAGGAACATCTGTTAATAATATCTATCATCTCTAAAGTAAAGATTTTCAAACTAATATTAACTGATAATCATTTATAATCATTACACTCATTATCAGTTCATGGTTCACTCATTATTAAAAGTGTAAAAAATTACATAATCCTTCAACTTACATCTTTGTCATATTTTGCATGTATCAGTTGGTTCTTCATGAATTTGCTCCCGCCTCTGTGTTTCAGACTCATGCGTTCCTCAACACGACGTTTTTCAGCCAGTTTCACAGCCTCAGCATAAGCTTCAGGGTCCTTCTTCTCCAAGTCTGTCATTTCCTTCTTTAACTGCTTTGCTTTCTCCTTGCGTAGAATTCTATGAAACCTGGAGGAGGAGTATTATGAAAAATATTTTAATTAATATTTTTATTACAATACAGGTGTATAATAATATGAAATCTTATCATTTATTCAGGGCAAAATATCAACATTTAGAATCAATCAAATTAAATCTAGCATTTGAACTCCTACCTCTCTTCTTAAACTCAAAGGAAGGATATTTAAATACAACAGAAATATTATTGCTAAGTTTAACTAGTGCCTCTCCCTGTAGATAATTCAAACTTCAAAAGGTAAATTTTTACATTAGCTCTTAAAAGAAAAAAAAAGATAATACTATAAATCATGAGCAAACTGTATAATAGATCATTTCAATGATTAATAATGACATACTTCTTGCTCTTGATTTTCTTCTGTCTCTTTGCTTTAGACTCCTGGTAAGACAATAATGCTCTGTATTTCTGCAGCTCAGCTCGTCTCTCCCTAGCCTGGAAACGCATCAACATGCTATTTGAATTATATTTGTTGATGACTGCTTGTCACGTGACAAAAGCTCATGCTCATAGTAACTGTTTTCTATTCCTCACATCTGACATAACTATGCTGATGTACACAAGGTCTATTATCACGCAGCATTAGACTTGAAAATTCACATGCCAACTCTGTTATAAATCTGTATACACAGCAGATGCATTATGGGTACATACCTCCTCTAGACTCATGGCCTTCATAGATTCCATCTCAGCTCTGGTCAACTGGGTACGCTTGTCTACTTTGTGTGGATTGTTTCTCAACATGGCCGCTACTTCGACTTCTAATGGGGTCCTAGGCTGGAATGAAAAAAATTGAAATCTAAGAACAAGAACATTTTTTTATTTTTTAATATTGCACTTCATATGACTTTTCACAAAAGCATTCATAAAATCAATTTAAATTCAATTTCAATGGATCTAATCCTTTATTTTGGATAATTTTACATACAATAAAGGTCTAACAGGCGACAATATTTCTAGTGTTTATACCCTTACATATTATAGAAAGATGTCATGGATATTTAGAACAAGACCGATGTTTCAGTCCAACTTTACTTAAAGTAAAATTGGAATTCTGGCCCATGCGCCCAAAGAGTAAAAATTCTTGGGAGAATACAATACCAACTTGAAGTTTCTTTCCAATCCTGCAATTTTTATTGGAAGTACTTCAATCTAAAAATCAAGAAAGCAGTCAAAGATGTTTTTAGAAATACAGGAAGGCATACCTTAAACGACCTGACAACTTGATCAGTAGTCTGGAGGTTGAGGTTAGGTCTCTCTAAAGGAAAACTCAGTTGTGGAGCATTCCTATTTTCCTTCACTATGGGATCCCACAGAGTGAGGTCTTTGCTGGTTTTCTCATATACAACACGGCGTTCAATCTATGTGTAGAAAAACAAAAAGAATTATTGTATGTTCAGCAGCTTAATTGTTTGAATTCCTTGCAAGCTCATGATGTCTTAATATAACTAATTACACCATGGTCAGAGCAATATAATATGCAAGTGATAAATCACATATTTGGGATAGGGATGATATCAGGGTTGATATTGGGATTAGAGGGATGATATCAGGGATGTTATGGATATTATCCGGGGTTTTTACTCCAAAGTTTTACACTTGTATCCATTTTATTTAAAAATTTCATTTTTTAAAATTTTCCATTTTTTCAAAAACTCATATTTTTCAAAAAAAATCATTTTTTCAAAAAATTCATTTATTCAAAAATTATGAGAAAAGATTAGATTTCAAACAATGAGTAATGTTATGGACTATTAGCTTTGCATAGCAACTGACAAACCAAATGTTATTCTTGTTTCATTCCCATTTAATTGCCATTGGATAAAATCTGAAGGACGATTTTCAAAAATAACCAAATTTGTCAGTCACTTCTGACCTTGCATGATTTATTGCAGAAAAATTGTAATAATCAGATCTGAAGTCAAATTATGAAGTAGCATTACCCTTCCCTGCTCTGGCTTTGAGAGAGGAGTGTCAAGTGTCTTGTTTCGTCTCTTGAGCTCCATGAGCTGCTTCTTCAGCATGCCATGCCCTGTGGTGTTCTGTAGCGCACCCATCAACTGATGCAGACGGATCTTATCAGCATCTAAATTAAAGAAAAGTTTCAAAATATTAGATAATATATGCACTGTAAACATGTTATAATGTGGTTTTTATTAAAACCTTAAGATTGTCATGAACTGTCACTAGATCGATCCAAGTAATGGATCAAGATTAATAAATATATTAAAAATAAATAGTAACATCAAGATTAATGGAATTGTGTGCTTAATCCCATTTAATTTTAGTGCTGCATTGTTTGCTTTTTCTCACCTCTATGCAAGACTACATTCTAATTGGAGATAAAAATAGATGTTATTCCTAAGACTTAAAGTGGTAGCCTTAAAGTAATAAAATACAAGGCATTAACATGCAAAATGACACCGCCATTTGTTACAGACGCTAAATGCCAATCGCCAACGGCCGTCACAAAAAACGGAGACCATTACAATATGTATAAAAATTCTCAAATTTATTGGTTCTAACAATTCTGTTTAACTATTAACATTTACCTGATGATGTAGACAGACTAGCTTCACCAATATTCTTAGTTGTTTCAGACCTCGCCTTCCTGTTAGACCTAAAAATAATTATTTCTATAGCATTAGTAATTTGTTTTATTAAGATATATCCAAGTACAGTAATAAGGTGTTCACTGTTCAACCATTTTTAGGTCTTGCAAATCACCTTAAAATTGAGTTTGAGCCAATTTTACTTTCAACTGGGATTTTTTTCATGATACTAATGTAAAGGAGACTTGAGAGGAAAAAGATCTATAAGCTCTGGCAAGAGAAGCTAGGCTTCAAGTGCAAGCATATGAATAAATGAATATAATTAACTCACTTTCTCTTCCCATCCAAGCTGATGATGGAATCAATGAGTTTGTTATGTGTGAAGTCATCACCAACATCCTAGAACAAAAAGGGTTAACATTGAAGCAAATCAGAGCTATTGAAACATAAAGGTTGAATTGTCTCAATGTGATGATGGAGTCAATGAGTCTGTTATGTGTGAAGTCATCACCAACATCCTAGAACAAAAAGGGTTAACATTGAAGCAAATCAGAGCTATTGAAACATAAAGGTTGAATTGTCTCAATGTGATGATGGAGTCAATGAGTCTGTTATGTGTGAAGTCATCACCAACATCCTAGAACAAAAAGGGTTAACATTGAAGCAAATCAGAGCTATTGAAACATAAAGGTTGAATTGTCTCAATGTGATGATGGAGTCAATGAGTCTGTTATGCGTGAAGTCATCACCAACATCCTAGAACAAAAAGGGTTAACATTGAAGCAAATCAGAGCTATTGAAACATAAAGGTTGAATTGTCTCAATGTGATGTATTGGTACATAGAAACAGACTTTACAGGGTTTTCTTTAGAATTTGAGAAAGTAGTGCAAAATTCTAATTTTCACAATTTTAACCAATTAAAAAGTTGTTCAAAATGCCAATTTTTCATTTCAGGTGAATGAAAGACTACATGTATTTTGAAAACGGAATCGGTACCCAGAATTAGACTTTACAGAGTTCTCTCTAGAATTTGGAAAAGTGGGTGCGAAATTAAGTGTCACAATCTAATGCAATAATCAATTTACAAGCATATATTTGGACTTGGATGGTCAAAACTTAATGTTTTAAAGAACAAGGTTACTCTTTTAACTTAGATGTCAACTTTATTCGAAATATAATATGCTGATGTCAGCAAAATACTTCATCAAAATAGCAAAGCAGTCTTAAGCTTTAAATATTACTAATTGTAACAATAGTAAGAAGTGTAATATAAACAATTGAAATCTTATATGCAAAATATGGATTTATTAGCTAATTATCTCATTAACAATTGACCCTAGAAGCTCTAAGGGGGGGGGGGTGTACAAAAGGCTCTCACAGTTAAGGTTTTCTCTAGAACTTTTTAAAGGCATTAGGTAGAATCTTCAAATTCTCAGCAGCTGGAGCTAGAGATATAACAAATGTATTATGAAAAATCAGCAGAATTATATGTAGGGTAATTAATTTATTATGATGTAATCATCAGCTCCACGAGACAAAACCTGATTATATAAATTGAGAATCACTAATTCTACCACATTCAAACCAGACAAATATACAATCTTAGATCTAGTACGTTCAGAACAAACATGGGAAAATACTCTATAAGGAAGACAGGGTCAGACCTGTGGAACACTTTACCTCATAAAATTACTCATTCTAATACTCTTTCCACCTTCAAAAAGAATTTAAAATTACACTTGCTCAACAATTAAGATCATTACTTAAAGAAAGAATCAGATCTAGCGAGCAGCCTAACAAAAAATTGTTTCAATTAAAAATATTTCTGGCTATGTCATTCCTTTTCATGTACACTTTATTTTAGGAAAACTAAAGATTTTTACAATAATGTATTATTTTTCAATAAGAATGGTGACCATTCCTATTATTTGGGAGAATTTAAACATTTTTCACCAATTTTTCACTTTGGATCTATAACTTTACTGATTTATAACATATTGTGAATCTTTTGGGAGATTTGTATTTGAGATTGTAAGGAATAGATTGGTAGGTCAATTGTACATATTGCTTGTAAATTTGTCACCCCCATAGATCTGATTCTGCGTTTGATCAAGGTCTAACTTTTCTTGAGAAAAATCTCTGGAGTGAGTAGAGGAGGATGGAGGATGGGACCGATTGTGAAATATTTAGTGTTGATTTTTAATTCTAATGAGCACTGATTTCTTGTATGAGTTTTGCTACTTTTGCTACTTTTTACTTTGCTATTTTTTGTTTAGTATAAAATGGATCATATGCCCCTTGGGGTGTCTTCAACTGTTGTGATTGTATTTGTATTATTTGGAATTTAGGAAAAAAATAAAAAAAAAATAAAAAAAATAAAATAAAACGTGTTGTCTTGAGAATAAAATTACACAATCTTAAAATCATCATAGTTGTAAAAGTTATTACACCATAGAAGTAAAAGTAGATAAATGAATGAAGTACTGTATATTTGGGGAAAGTTTGAACATCAGAGCTTTTCTGATAAAGATTCTATAAGTGGCATCCTCCGATCACAGGGCTTCAAAATCCAGAATATATTCTTTCTTTTTACCCCCTGCGATAAGCAGTTAGCATTTTCCCGATTAAGAACTCGCAGTCTGATTGGCTAATGCAACAGAAATCATGTATAAGTCATTGCGCATAATTAGATTACGTGATTCAGTTTAATCGGGCGCTCCCAAATTGGTTATAGCAGGGGGAAGAAGGAAGTACGGATTCTGTACAGCTGCTTAGGAGGATGATAAGTGGGGGGGGGGGAGTTTGTGGGATATGGCATCTGTCAGGCAAGCAGAAATGAAGGCACTAGAAACTGAATGCATGAATCCTACCAGTATGCGCTAAATGGTCAAGGAGGATTGGCTCCCAGAGTGCAACACCGATATTCTGTCCCATATATGGGCATGTTGTGATACATGCGAACCCCCTGTAAAAAATTCTCAAAAGTTCATAAATTAAATTAGGTAAGATTTAGCCCATCATGAGAAATCATGGCCTTCATATTTCTCGTTGAAGGCAGAAATATGTGATGAGTATCAGAATGGATTTAACCATTTACTGTGTTCATGTAGCATAGGAGTCCCATTCAAATCTAAAACAAGGGCGGAATGTCTAGGAGCAAAATTGTTTCATCAGAATATTAAAACATAGTATTTGCCCATTTAATTCGATTCTTGATAATAGTTTTTTCTGAAAAGTTACTAATTCACAATGAAGCAACGCTGTATCTTTTAGAATCAATATTTTATAATGAAGTGTATTTTTAGAATTTAAATCTTAAATAAAATAGGATTAGTGTCAGAATGAAATAGATTACTTAACAATTTAATAAATGAAAAAAGTAGAAACGGAATTCTCTTTTATGATCAATGAGTTTTGGCACATATGGACAAACTAGTGACAAAAATTAATGCCAACTTTACATTAAAAGATAATCTTGCAACATTAACAAGACAAAATGCCACACAGGTTATCGCAAATAAATGAATAGATAGAATTCAACCATTTACGGTGTTCATATATAGCGTATTAGTCCTGTTCATATCTATATATATATCTTTTATTGACTCTTTAGATGTCATATCATGACATATTAGTCACTTAGGTAGAGCAGTTCTTCCCATTGTCGAGTTGAAGAACTGGTATCTTTATCCTGGCTAGAACCATAGACAATTCTAGCCAGCGCCAGCCTTTTATCGAGTTAGCAGCACTCTAGTAATCGCCGGTATAGGTCAGCATAACACGAGCAGGGTGTCTAGGAGCAAAATTATTTCTTCAGAATATTACGGTAATACTAATTGGCCAATTCAAGTCTGAATGAAAGTTTTCTTTCTGAAAAGGTACAATGACGAAACAGGTATCTTTTGGAATCAATATTCTATATTGAAGTATATTTTTAAATTTTAAATCTTAAATAAAATAAGATTAGTAAGTGTCAGAATGAACTGGATTACATATTACAATTAAAAAAAGAAATGAAGGAACATTGAAAAATTTTAGTTGAATAAAGTAAAATATAAGATTTTATAAGCAAAGTTGTTTTAAAACTGAATGTGTAATTCCAACTCTATCTGCTATAACATGTTAAAGGTTATTGTTTTGGAAATATTTTGAAGTTATGAAATACTTGTATATGTTTAGGTTCAGTTATAGCAGGTGACAATAGATTAATAATACTACCTTTTGAGGTAAATGTAAAATATAAGCTTGCATTTGCAAATGCAACTAACAACTAGCGACTACCGGATTAACCTACTATTTTATGACCAATTCATTTAAATATGAATGGAATAGTGGCAGGTACTATTCATATTTAAATGAGTTGCCCATAAAATAGTAGGTTAATCCGGTAGCGGATTGAGTAAATGTAAAAATGGAATTAAAATTGATATGTTAATTAGTAAGCTAATTAATATGCATAATAAAAACACAGTTGTTATACACTTCTTTTACCCCTATAGTCATAATTGAGATCGTATTTATTCTACTCTAATTTAGGGTTACGTTATTCAGGTGAAATTAACTCCACTTGTAACACATTTATAACCTTACAATGATACCAAATCTCTGTTCTACCAAAGGTGAACCCGTTATAAAAATCAGACAATCGTTACTGCACTTAGTTTACATTTTTCTGGTAGTGTTGATTTAATGACTTAATTTGCATAATTATTGTATTTTTTCAGAGAGAGAATGTTCACAGGTAGATATGTATATTGCAAGCCATAAATTAAACAAAAATAACTGATAAGGGAAATTTAACTCCATTTAAATACATGAATACTACCAAATGTGCCACGCCCCCTTTCAGAAATATTACATAATTTTAAAAAGACAATAGAAAAAATGCTCAACCTACCACAACTGCATATTTGTGGCTTTTTGACCAAGACATGCCTAACTATCAAAAAATGCAATAAAACATTGTATATACTCCAAAACAAGGTTCAGTGATAAATCCTTTGTTTTCATCTAGACTATATACATTATACCCGCCATGCTATCTGACCCGAACGAGCCATCTGGTGGTGAATCTGGTAACTACCTACTCGCATCTGCGTTATTAAAAAGTTGTTCAAAATGCCAATTTTTCATGACTTTCTCATTTTCAGGTGAGTGAAAAACTATTTTGAAAAATGGACTTAGCACACACTTGCACTAAATTTGGGAACATCACTGGTTGATATAGCCTCAATGGACTTTTGTTTACAAGGAAAATATAAGAATATAAGGAGGGTGTTCATTGCGTTTAAATTGTCATCAAAAATGTGTGACAGTCCGAAAATGTCATTTTAAGAAATGTCATACCACCAGGGTGACCACTACAGTATGACAATAAAACAAATTGTAATTTTTAGATTCAGATCAATAACTACAGTATAAGGTTGAGCAGTATTTGTATATTTACTAACCTCATCTCCACTGTCATTCTCATAACCCCCTGATGTGAAAATGTCTTCAGTTTCATCCATCATTCTGAAAGTATAAGAACAGAAAATAAAATTTATGAGTCATGGGGCATCATTTATGTTTTTATTTTGGAATCATCAATTGCTCTGTGGTGTCACAAAGCAAATGCAACGAGGCATTAACATGACAAAATGTTACCACTTCATTGCTCACAATATTATGAATCTTTTTTTGACCTTGAGAAGATCATTGAAGGTCAAATCTCAAATCTAAAGTCAGATTTGAATTTCTGAGAACTTGTAGATGATTTTGAAATAAAAATCTGGTTAATTGAAGCAAGCTGAAAAAATACCCTTTGGACCTTTTTTGACCTTGAGAAGGTCATTGAAGGACAAATCTCAAATCTATAGTCAGATTTGAACTTCTGAGAACTTGTAGATGATTTTGAAAAAAAATTGGTCAATTCGAAGCAAGTTGAAAAAAGATGAGCCGAAAGATTGTATAACACTTTCAAATGGTATTGGATAACACTTTGTATCATTTAGAGCAATATATTAGGCACATTTTCTGAAAAATTGAAAAGATTCTGTTCAGTGACCTTTCCAAAGCGCCTGCTTTTAGCTATTTTTCAGTCACATTTTCAGAGGGCTGAAAAAGTTATTTTGTCATGTTTAGGGTCATTTTGACCATGTACATTGTGCTTCTGGTCATGTAAATGACATGTGAAACTAATTTAACCTACTAGATGTCAAAACAGAACTCTGTTAGCTTGGTTCAAAAAATGTTTGAAATCCAGCATGGTTTTGTCATTTCCTGTTTTGGCAGGCACCTTAAACACCTTCCTTCAAACTGTGAACACCTTGGTCCAAATCTGAACACCTTGGTCCAAATTTTGAACACCTTGGGACAGGGACAAAAAAAATTGAAGACAACGCTGACATATATGCAATATGCATGAAAATTCCAAACGAACTGTATTAGTATTTTTGGCATTCATTTCTCATGTTTCGGCATTGGTTCTTTGTGTCCTTCTCCAGAAATATTTTTGCTTGACAATATTTTTCACATATATTGTCAAGCAAAAAAACTGGTGTGACTTCAATTTCTTCAGAAAATCCGTGACAAATACGCAAATTGCAGGACAACTGGCAGGCCTGTTGATTGGATAATTATTGACTGATGCGTATAATATCGATTAATATTAATGAGTGGCACAAAATGCCAAGTGACTATCTGAGATACTCACTTCTTCTGAGGGTCAATACAACCTACTTGAGATTTGTTTTGGTCATGGTATAGGAAAAGTAGTACTTAAAACACTAGTTTGCTACTTTGTAGATGTATGGCACGTATATGTGTACATGTATTGACAATTAATGTTTGGTAATAGCTAGTAGGAGTGTCAGGGACCGCTGACAGATTATAATTTTGAACCCAAAAAATTGAATTATATTTTTGGTCGTCTCAGTAAATCAATGGGGTAATCAGGTTCTACGTGCTTTTTACAGGCCCAGAAATCAATGCTCCGTTATAAAGGTAGCAAAATCTTTTTTGTTCATGGGATATTTTTTTCACCATATAACCGAACGGGAAGTTTTTACATGATCTGAATGGATGCGAGGATTCGATGGGCTGGGATTTGAGAAATTATTATTTGAACTTTGCCAATTTTACATGTATTCCAATGGGTGAAAAAGTAAGTTGCTTTCTACCTGAGTAAATGGCATGTACTCAAAAAAATACAAATGTGCTCTATTATCACCCACATGGAAAAATATTTTACTCGCTGACAAATTGATATCATTTAATCCAAGTTTCATGTGGGTTTTTCTCAACAATTTGAAGTGTAAGTATTACTCATTATAATAATAATGAATTCCATGAATAAGCTACCAGCCTTTGCAATAAATGTACAAAATAAGGGAAGAAATATTATTTACCTTTTTTCACGTGTGAAATTTACGACACCCTCCAGAAAGTCTCCGTTTTAATTTGTAAATTTTATCAATTTACCCAACTCAAATAATTATCTATATACACAGTCATAACTTTAAGATCTTGGTTCAATCAATGAATTCTAAAAAACAATTTATTTTATGGTTGTTTTGGTATCGTAAATCAGTCGTCCGGAGGTCGTTCAAGGTCACCTCAAGTTTCAAAATGTTTGTCAAGTTATTCCGAAAATGTGCAGGTTCCTGCAGTTTTATTGGTGACAATATCAAACAGGTGTTTCGTAATTATTCTGCTGAATCCCATGATGGAGCAGGGCTTATATATAAAGAATATGGCGATCCTATGAAAGTTCTGAAAAAAGTTGACCATGTACTGTCAAAATCTACACAATCCCATCCCATGGAAGGACGAGTGATAGTCAAAATGCTCGCAGCTCCTATTAATCCTGCGGATATTAACATGATCCAGGGAACGTACCCTGTCAAGCCATCCCTTCCTGCTGTTGGTGGAAACGAAGGTGTTGGAGAGGTATTGGCTGTCGGAGATGATGTTACGAGTTTCAAAGAAGGCGACTGGGTTTTGCCATCCAGCCCTGGTTTCGGAACCTGGAGGACACATATGATGTGTAAACCATCGCAGTTGAAGCTTGTTGCCAATGACATTCCTCTAATAAGTGCAGCAACTCTGGCTGTAAATCCTTGTAGTGCATACCGGATGTTGAAAGACTTTGAACATGTAGTTCCAGGTGATGTCATCATTCAAAATGGTTCAAACAGTGCCGTTGGTCAAGCCGTGATTCAAATTGCAAGTGCAATGAAATTCAAAACCATCAATGTTATTCGTGATCGTGATCAACCTGATATGGATGCACTTAAAAAGCATCTGAAATCCCTAGGTGCCACTAAAGTTATTACTGAAGACTTTGTACGCAAACCAGAAATGAAGGACTTGGTAAAATCTCTCGGTAAGAAACCAAAACTAGCTTTGAATTGTGTTGGTGGAAAAAGTGCAACTGAATTAGCGCGACAGTTAGAAAATAATGGCACTATGGTGACGTATGGTGGCATGTCTAAACAACCAGTTGTTGTGCCAACTGGGTCCTTTATCTTCAAGAATATTAAACTGCGAGGCTTTTGGATGACAAGATGGAATCAAGAGAACTTTAAGAATCCAGAGTCGCAAGATATGCTAGATGAGCTTTGTGAACTTGTGCGACAATGCAAGCTTCATCCGCCATTTTGTAATCTGTCGCATATTGATAACTTCCAAGATGCAATTGCTACGGCAATGAAACCACAAACCAACAGGAAAGAGTTGCTAATTATGGATGAAAAATATCTGGACTGGCGATATGAGTAGATAGCGTGTCTGATGTGTTCAGATATGAAAATACTTTGTAACCCGGTTCTATGGGGTCTCTATAGGAATACATCAAATATTTATTTTTTTATTTTACCTTTATAGATTGCCATTATTAAATAATGGATCTTTAAGAATTTTGTTAAATTTTGATGTATACATGTACATGTCTTCAAAATGTATATCCATCCACTTGTTTAATTTTGCTTTTTGCCAGATTAACACCCGTTGTGGCAAATCAATGTTACAGTATTATTATATAATATTATATAATCACAGCTGAATATGTTAAGAAACTTTACGTTAAAGATCTGTTAGTTATCTGAGGGAATGAATGAAGCATAATCCTATATTCAAACATGACCGTGCTCTATTCGAATATCTCAACCAATCAGAATGCAGCATAGCCAATATAGAACGTTCTCTAATTCTCCATAGATGCACGACCATGCTCTATTCAATCTGCAATTTGCATTGTTTTGAATGACGTCACATCTCAGCTGCACATCTGGGGCTCTGTCCGGGGATAGATTACAGATTATTATTTTGATTACAGCATGCGTATTCTTCCTTCATGCCCGTTCCACAGACACGGCTTTTACTAATTTTTATGTTTGAATCGGAATAAATAATGATAGGCCATTCAATATGGTGAAATTCAGCACTCGTTGGACAGAATGTTAGTACAAATGCACTCACCTTCGGTTCGTGCTTTGTACAACATTCTGTCCAACTCGTGCTGAATTTCACCATATTGAATGGCCTATCATTATTTATTCCTTAATTAGAGATCGAATGTCATTTTATGTATAGAATAGATGGTGCAATGAGCAGTTTGTCAACTGTGTTGTGAAAATCAATCTTTAGGCCATCTATTGACCAAACACAAAACTCATTTATAAATCGGGAGAGATGCACATACATGTACTAAACATTTCCAAATAAGGACCAATATATTGTAGCCTTAATACATGTTTATTGTTTACTATAGTGTATATTTAAGTCATGTAGAAAATGTGATGTTCCAAGTGTTCCAAGTGGGTCTTCAGAAAACAAAAATTGATTGATATGTAAATGTACATCATGTTGAAGATCTAGGCCTATTGTACTCATCACAAGATCTCACCCTTGTATATACTTATTAAAGGAATTGATATCGTCTCCATCAATCCTCTGAAAGTTACAACACTGCATTTTCGAGTTTTCTACCTTTGAATTACAACATTCAAATGACTTCAAATTAAAAATCTCATAAAATGCAATTGAAAAGAAGCTACATTCATTTGCCTCAAAACTGAATCATCTGTTATGGTTGCTAGTTGATGGGAGTTTCAGGGTAGACCTGTTTTGGGATGATGATGATGATGTGACTCCCAAACTCTGGCTTACATGTATGTCTTTTTAACAACTTGATTACAGGCTGGTGCAGCTAATATGTTCACTAAAGCTCATCTGTTTCAAGGTGCTAGCTAGATAGTGGGAGCCAATAGGATTTTAAGTTCTTCCTTAGAGCTCAAATAAATTTCCCGTTAAACAGGACAGGAATGATAGAGAAATAACATTAGCGTAGTTGTAGTATAATATTTGTAATTTGTATTTTAAGGATTAATTAATGAAATGTGAATCATTATTTGACCCGTCATGCTGAAAACAAAAGATCTGAATACAAAATTAAATACGCTTAGCCTAGATAAAAAAAACAAGTCATTAGCCTAGTCAATAATGTCATTTAGTCATTTCAATTGTTTAAAGCTGTTTGAATTCGGATCATTTATAGAAGTGTGATGTTTTTATAGACTTGTTACTCATTCATTAATTGAATTTTGGTGCTTTTTGTGTACAGTATATTTTTATAAAGTTGTTCAAATATGCATGTCTGATTATGTCAACCAGCTCATATAATAAGCATAAACAGTTAAATATCATGCATTGTATAGTACTGAACATCAAAAAGAGATCTCATCCATGATCACAGTTTATAAGAAAAGATTTTCAGGGTACCAGTTCTGGTAGACTACATGTTGTTTTATACTATTTTATTTCTTAACACTGTAATGCATGTGTACATGTAATATGGAATAAAAGATGTATATGTGAATCAAATAACCTTAGTATTGCTGTAACAGTAACAAAATAAAAAAAATTAACATGAAAACAGCAACTCAATGGAGTAGCAAATCCCACTGAACAAAGCATAATTTATTTGATACCACATGCATGATGTGTTGCCATATATTAAATTTTTTTCAACAGTCAGGTCTTACAACCATTGAAGATTTGGACCAAATCTGGTAATTGGTGTTTGTGTTATCAGAATTATAACTTTTTGACCAGAATCTTATGCGAATAAGGCATCAGCACATAAAATCTGAACCTAATCTGTCAAATGGTACTAATGAGTTATCAAAAACTTTTTTTTATTAAAGAACAAAAAATGGTGTCCAGGGGTCATTTTGGAAATTTCTTCTTGAGCAGAGGTCCTTTGCCCAGATGACATTAGCCTTTACTTACACCACATCCTATAACTGGTGTTTAAGACATAACTCGGAAATTATATTTTTTCATAAATGTGGGCGTTTGAATTGACCAACCATCTTGAAAATTTTTGAGCAGTGTCCTAAAAGAATCAGCATATAAAATTTACACTAAAATCTGTCGACTGGTATTTGAGTTATCACACATTACAGTGTAATATTGTTCATGAAAAATTGTGGCCATTTTTGAAATGATTATCGAATAACAGATGCTACATATTTGGATATTTTATTCTTAATTGCTTGGTTTTAGTTAGTACATAAGTACCATAACATATTGCCTACGAGCTTCAACAATTTTCAAATGTACTGACTTGCCTTGGGCCATGTTTTTGGTTAAGCTAAATAGCATACACAATATATGTACTGGTTAACACCAACAATTTTTTTTATTTTTTATTTACTTCATTATATAATATTCCATTGATAACATTTATAACATAACACTGTTTGCATTCTCCACACTTCTAATGTAATATAAAGTGCACGTAAGTTTACTATTAATATTGTATGACCAATATTCAATTTAATCACAGTACAAACTTCTATATGTTCACAATAATCAACATATAAACATGAATAAATAATATTAAATATACAAAAATATTTTATATAATCATAATTAGACTACAAACATACAATATGTATATTATTAGGGAGTCCAACAATATATCATCAAATATTAGGCATTTAATACAAGAAATATTGAAATTCTCTTTAGAAGAACCATCCATCTAAGTGCCCATGGGCATTCAACTAAATGAAAGTGAAGAAACCTATGTATAAAAGATACTGATAGCAAACATATGTATATAATTCCAGGGTTTAAAGCAACAAATTTCAAATTTCCCGAAAATTGAATGGTGAGTGGTGGGTTTTGGCGGATCATCCTTCCAAGAAATTTTGGAAAAATGAGATTTGATTGAGTGCTTTTTAGAGTAATGTAATGGTAGACCCATTACATATACTTTCAAATTTGGAGGAAAAGTATTCTCATAGGAAAAAATTAAACAAATATGACCTTAATTTTGAAACCCTTGCTTGACCCCCCCCCCAAACGAGAAATAAATCCAGATTTGTATTGAACTCAATGGGGTCAGATTTTGGTCAATTTCTTCCTGAAATTCCTGAAGACTTTAAGCCATGTTATTCCATGTTGTAATTGAATTCTAAGGATATCTACTGCTTATATATATTGCATCTATATGTACAGTAAAACCTGTCTTAGTGAACACCTCTCTCTCTAGTGAACACCTGTGACTAGTGAATACATCTTCTCAGCACATACTCCACTTACTGAGTTCTCTATAAAATTGCCTCTCTGTAGTGAACACCTAAATATAGTGAACACATTTTGTGGCTCCAAAGGTGTTCTTTGTACACAGGTTTTACTGTACATGTATATCTGATTCGTGAGACTCCTAAAAAGTGTCTTAATCCAAGTCTTGTGCGCAGTCCCAAATATTGGCTCAACTGAAATGAGATGGCCATTCATACATCTGTACATGGGCCTACACTTGCAGGAGTTGTGCACTGAACTGTACACTTTTATAACATACAATACAGTAAAACCTTTATAACCAAACACTTCATATTCAAACGTCTCTTAATATGAATACTTTTTCCCTCCCCCAATTTTGTAATCCCCATTGACTACCATGTTATAAACAAGGCATTGACATGCAAAATGTCACCACCTACCATTTGTCACAGATACTGAACATCGAACACCAACTGTCATCTACAAAAAGTTGAAGACTATAACAATATGTCACCACTTGTGATGGGGACATAAAAACTTGAAATGTGAACAGCTGCTAATCCAAACCCCTCTGGGCAGTCCCAGTCGCATTTGTATTAGACAGGTTTTACTGTAAATAAAAAATACTTAACATACTGTACATGGTTAATTGATTACATATTACACGGTTTATAAATTATAATTCATACAATAATGAATTAATAAAGATTTTAACATTGATCACATTAGACTGTCAGTAAACAGACATGAATTCACAACCAATTACTAAGATCACCAAAAATGTTATATATCTTTATATAAATATAATATTATGACTATCATATATTTGTTTGAAAGAACATTACATTAATAATGATAAATTTCACTGTATATAAATAAGATACATGTATGGATATGGTACAATATAATACATATTTTAAATTGAACATGATAATTCCTAATTTTGAAACATTAATAATTTAATGTACTACATACATACAATAAAGCTAAGTTCACACCAACGGGGCTTTGATGGCGCTTTAATGCGATGTGCAAAGCGGCTTTGCACCCTGCTTTAAAGCGCCATCAAAGTGCCGTTGGTGTGAACTTAGCTTAAGAGATAAATCACTTTTAATGTATCTGAAACAAAACATGCATAAGGCCTTAATGTTATTAGATATTAGATAATTGAGTTTTATTAAAATCATGAACTCAGGTAACTACCATTGTATTTTTCACCCTCCAGAATCTTGAATCATTGAATATTTACTATCAATTTTTCAATCTACAGTATACCAAAAAAGATTGAAAAAATATTCTATCAATTTATTCCAAAGAAACTGAAATTGTTGATATAATTCCATATTCTATATTTAGCATAATTTATTTGTTTTAATTTTTTGATCATCACAGGTGGGCCATTGAAGAGACTAGATATGCATATAGATCACGATTAGGGATCTAGGAAAATGTATGAATGAAGTATTGAAATGGTAGCCAAATCAAAAATCAAACAAATCTATTATGGAATCTCTAATCTATGTGGAATCAATTTCTGAGTACTTTCAATAAATAGCAATTGACCATTAGCTGGTAAGCTTTAGTATACATTTTGGTTCGATTAATACATGGTATGCGACATGAACATGCAAAATGTCACCACCTGCCATTTGCAACAGATGTCAACAGTCAAACACCAACCACTGAACACCACTTGGTGATGACATAATAGTGAACCAATGTTTACACCCTTTACAAATGAGACAGATGTGAAGGACAATCCACAAGGTGGTCAGAGCAGTGCTAACAATATGAGCCCACAAATTCTTTACATTAATCGATTTCTAATTTTACATTGTCCACCTCTACTTCTAAATGCAGTAAAATAAATTATAAATCACAGGTAGTTAACATTCAACTACAGATATTATTATACAAGATGTAGATCAGGAAAACTGAATGGGAAATATGTAAACAGTCAAAATATGTACATATTCATTTGCCAGTGTGCCCTTTCATATTAAATGGTAGATTCATTTTGTTATTGTTTCTTTTGTCCCACCCCTTTTCAAGATCCACTTATTGTTTGTACAATACTTTGATGCAAATTGCAACATTTAATTGATTATATGTCTTCAGTTTGTCGCATTCAGTCATGTGTTGAATTTCTAGTACTATATTTGTCATTGATCTGTGGACTTGAGCCTTGAGTTTCAGATATTCAGATTATACTCATATGTAAAGCAGAGTTGTACACTTTAATTATTCCTGTATATTTTGGTGATTATTTAAATGAAATCAAAAATTTAGAGTGGTCCACAAAGTAAAAATTGCTATTGCCCTTATATCATCCGAAAAAATGAATATTTCATTACCTCTTTTACTTTACTAGGTTAATGGTAAAATGATACCTTTAGTGGATACCTTTTCGCTTTCATGTTATATAGAACACTCTACATGAAAAATATATAATTTGACAGTTTGACTAGATATATTGCATCTCATGTGTTTTAAATCATTCGCTTGACCAGTGAACAAGTTTATGTGATTGCAGTTTTATTTTTAGTTATGCCCCAGACATTCCCTAAAAGTGGTCCTTTAGGCCTAATTTGGGAAGAGAATAGCCCTTTCAAAATAGACATAAATATCTAACAAGGCATTAACATGACAAAATGTCACCACCTAGTTGCTCACAATATTATGAGTTCAATCTTAAGTCAGATTTGAATTTCTGAGAACTTGTATATGATTTTGAAAAAATAAACTGGTCAATTTGAAGCAAGTTGAAAAAAGACCTTTTTTGACCCCGAGAAGATCATTGGCGATGAAATCTCAAGTCAGATTTGAACTTCTGAAAACATTTAGATGATTTTGAAAAAATTGGAGTCAGTCTAAACAATGTTTGTTAAGTTATTGGAAGTTGTAAGAATTTGTTACAGACGCCGATCGCCAACCACCAACCGCCGTCAACTAAAAACAGAGACCATAACAATATGTCACCATTTTTTGGTAGTGACATAATAAAGGGGCCCAAAGAAAGGGAAGAGATTTTACAAAAATAATTTGCCTCCCCATACCCTCAGGCAAAATACTAGATCTAGGTCAAGTACAGTAAATAATATAACAGTGAGATGCATGATAAAAATCTATTTTGCTAAATTGTTTGTTCATTGTTGCTTGTTTTCTTCAATCGTCCTTGTTTTTCATTTTCTCCCTATCTTTGATTTATGAATCTTCTTTGTCCATTGGATACACTCTATTGAGTTTCTCTATGTTTTGTTGCAATAGTTTGTGTGTTGGATTGAGCCTCAGAGCCTCATTGTAGTGGAACCTCGCCATCTTATATTGTTTCTGAAATATCAATGAACTATTAATCTTCTTTGTCCATTGGATACACTCTATTGAGTTTCTCTATGTTTTGTTGCAATAGTTTGTGTGTTGGATTGAGCCTCAGAGCCTCATTGTAGTGGAACCTCGCCATCTTATATTGTTTCTGAAATATCAATGAACTATTAATCTTCTTTGTCCATTGGATACACTCTATTGAGTTTCTCTATGTTTTGTTGCAATAGTTTGTGTGTTGGATTGAGCCTCAGAGCCTCATTGTAGTGGAACCTCGCCATCTTATATTGTTTCTGAAATATCAATCAATTATGAATCTTCTTTGTCCATTGGATACACTCTATTGAGTTTCTCTATGTTTTGTTGCAATAGTTTGTGTGTTGGATTGAGCCTCAGAGCCTCATTGTAGTGGAACCTCGCCATCTTATATTGTTTCTGAAATATCAATGAACTATTAATCTTCTTTGTCCATTGGATACACTCTATTGAGTTTCTCTATGTTTTGTTGCAATAGTTTGTGTGTTGGATTGAGCCTCAGAGCCTCATTGTAGTGGAACCTCGCCATCTTATATTGTTTCTGAAATATCAATGAATTATGAATCTTCTTTGTCCATTGGATACACTCTATTGAGTTTCTCTATGTTTTGTAGCAATAATTTGTGTGTTGGATTGAGCCTCAGAGCCTCATTGTAGTGGAACCTCGCCATCTTATATTGTTTCTGAAATATCAATGGATTCTGAATCTTCTTTGTCCGTTGGATATACTCTGTTGAGTTTCTCTATGTTTTGTTGCAATAGTTTGTGTGTTGGATTGAGCCTCAGAGCCTCATTGTAGTGGAACCTAGCCATCTTATATTGTTTCTGAAATATCAATGGATTCTGAATCTTCTTTGTCCGTTGGATATACTCTGTTGAGTTTCTCTATGTTTTGTTGCAATAGTTTGTGTGTTGGATTGAGCCTCAGAGCCTCATTGTAGTGGAACCTCGCCATCTTATATTGTTTCTGAAATATCAATCAATTATGAATCTTCTTTGTCCATTGGATACACTCTGTTGAGTTTCTCTATGTTTTGTTGCAATAATTTATGTGTTGGATTGAGCCTCAGAGCCTCATTGTAGTGGAACCTCGCCATCTTATATTGTTTCTGAAATATCAATGGATTCTGAATCTTCTTTGTCCGTTGGATATACTCTGTTGAGTTTCTCTATGTTTTGTTGCAATAGTTTGTGTGTTGGATTGAGCCTCAGAGCCTCATTGTAGTGGAACCTAGCCATCTTATATTGTTTCTGAAATATCAATCAATTATGAATCTTCTTTGTCCATTGGATATACTCTATTGAGTTTCTCTATGTTTTGTTGCAATAGTTTGTGTGTTGGATTGAGCCTCAGAGCCTCATTGTAGTGGAACCTAGCCATCTTATATTGTTTCTGAAATATCAATCAATTATGAATCTTCTTTGTCCATTGGATACACTCTGTTGAGTTTCTCTATGTTTTGTTGCAATAGTTTGTGTGTTGGATTGAGCCTCAGAGCCTCATTGTAGTGGAACCTAGCCATCTTATATTGTTTCTGAAATATCAATGAACTATTAATCTTCTTTGTCCATTGGATACACTCTGTTGAGTTTCTCTATGTTTTGTTGCAATAGTTTGTGTGTTGGATTGAGCCTCAGAGCCTCATAGTAGAGGAACCTCGCCATCTTATATTGTTTCTGAAATATCCTTGAATTATGAATCTTCTTTGTCCATTGGATACACTCTATTGAGTTTCTCTATGTTTTGTTGCAATAGTTTGTGTGTTGGATTGAGCCTCAGAGCCTCATTGTAGTGGAACCTCGCCATCTTATATTGTTTCTGAAATATCAATGAATTATGAATCTTCTTTGTCCATTGGATATACTCTGTTGAGTTTCTCTATGTTTTGTTGCAATAGTTTGTGTGTTGGATTGAGCCTCAGAGCCTCATTGTAGTGGAACCTCGCCATCTTATATTGTTTCTGAAATATCAATGAACTATTAATCTTCTTTGTCCATTGGATACACTCTATTGAGTTTCTCTATGTTTTGTTGCAATAGTTTGTGTGTTGGATTGAGCCTCAGAGCCTCATTGTAGTGGAACCTCGCCATCTTATATTGTTTCTGAAATATCAATGAATTATGAATCTTCTTTGTCCATTGGATACACTCTATTGAGTTTCTCTATGTTTTGTTGCAATAATTTATGTGTTGGATTGAGCCTCAGAGCCTCATTGTAGTGGAACCTCGCCATCTTATATTGTTTCTGAAATATCAATGAACTATTAATCTTCTTTGTCCATTGGATACACTCTGTTGAGTTTCTCTATGTTTTGTTGCAATAGTTTGTGTGTTGGATTGAGCCTCAAAGCCTCATTGTAGTGGAACCTAGCCATCTTATATTGTTTCTGAAATATAAATGAATTATGAATCTTCTTTGTCCATTGGATACACTCTATTGAGTTTCTCTATGTTTTGTTGCAATAGTTTGTGTGTTGGATTGAGCCTCAGAGCCTCATTGTAGTGGAACCTCGCCATCTTATATTGTTTCTGAAATATCAATGAATTATGAATCTTCTTTGTCCATTGGATATACTCTGTTGAGTTTCTCTATGTTTTGTTGCAATAGTTTGTGTGTTGGATTGAGCCTCAGAGCCTCATTGTAGTGGAATCTAGCCATCTTATATTGTTTCTGAAATATAAATGAATTATGAATCTTCTTTGTCCATTGGATATACTCTGTTGAGTTTCTCTATGTTTTGTTGCAATAGTTTGTGTGTTGGATTGAGCCTCAGAGCCTCATTGTAGTGGAACCTCGCCATCTTATATTGTTTCTGAAATATCAATGAATTATGAATCTTCTTTGTCCATTGGATATACTCTGTTGAGTTTCTCTATGTTTTGTTGCAATAGTTTGTGTGTTGGATTGAGCCTCAGAGCCTCATTGTAGTGGAACCTCGCCATCTTATATTGTTTCTGAAATATCAATGAACTATTAATCTTCTTTGTCCATTGGATACACTCTATTGAGTTTCTCTATGTTTTGTTGCAATAGTTTGTGTGTTGGATTGAGCCTCAGAGCCTCATTGTAGTGGAACCTCGCCATCTTATATTGTTTCTGAAATATCAATGAATTATGAATCTTCTTTGTCCATTGGATACACTCTATTGAGTTTCTCTATGTTTTGTAGCAATAATTTGTGTGTTGGATTGAGCCTCAGAGCCTCATTGTAGTGGAACCTCGCCATCTTATATTGTTTCTGAAATATAAATGTACACTATATAACCATGAAGTCCGTTATCTCCTTTAACATTCTATCTTTACCCCAATACATTACTTAAGATTCTCAATTCATTTTTATTGCCATTGTCATGGAATTGGCAACTATTGTATCTTAGTTAGTTTTCTCCATCTTGAATCTTCAATAGCTTCCATTTTTGATTAGACATCTTACATCCTTCTCAAATAATGAATAAAGATTGTAAGTTACTAGAGTACTCATAATAAGCAAATACTATATATTTGTGTGAAGTAAATAAGCTGAGTTAAATTGTACAGAAGTACCAGTAAAACTTATATATTCAAACACCTCCTAATGTGAACAATTCTTCATCAAAACACTTTTACACATTCCAGACAATGATTCACTTAAACAGGTTTTACTCTACACAAAAGTGACATGTAAGCATTGATTTGTACCTTCATGTGTAAGATGACTCCTATATTCAGCTGAACCTCCATGTGCCAAGGGTTGAACAGCAAACACTGCCCATAACTCTGAAAAAATTATTATGTCTTGTTACATGTAAATGGTGGAGGTGAAACTTTAAGTGATTTGAGAAATAAAATATCAAATGGCAAAAACAGTCACAGGGAAACACCACGTAACATCCAACAAATGTTCAAAGATAATTTTTCCAATGAGTTCCTTATATATTACTAAGACCTATAAATGATCCAGTCCCCCTACATCCCCGTAGACCAATTAAGAATACAACAGACCACAGTGTTCAATTTCAAGCTCATATAGAGAGTAAATATGTGAAACAGGTACTTTCTCTTATATAATACCTTATATGCCCCATCAAAATCTTCAAGATCCCTGAGATGGTTGCCTTTGTTGTAATATAACTGAGCTTTGGTTGTAGTATCAGTGGTATACTGGAGAGCCTGGTCTAGGTACTGGATAGCCTGAAAATACATAGGGTAATACTTGAATATTGCCTTTGTTGTAATGTAACTGAGCGTTGGTTGTAGTATCAGTGGTATACTGGAGAGCCTGGTCTAGGTACTGGATAGCCTGAAAATACATAGGGTAATACTTGAATATTGCCATTGTTGTAATATAACTGAGCTTTAGTTGTAGCATCAGTGGTATACTGAAGAGCCTGGTCTAGGTACTGGGTAGCCTGAAAATACATAGGGTAATACTTGAATATTGCCTTTGTTGTAATATAACTGAGCTTTAGTTGTAGTATAAGTGGTAAACTGGAGCCTGGTATAGGTACTAGAAAGCCTGAAAATACATAGGGTAATACTTGAATATTGGCTTTGTTGTAATATAATTGAGGTTTGGTCTCGGCACTGGATAGCCTGAAAATATATAGGGTAATACTCGAATATTGGCTTTGTTGTAATATAATTGAGCTTTAGCTGTATTATCAGTGGTATACTGGAGAGTCTGGTCTAGGTACTGGATAGCCTGAAAATACATAAGGTAATACTTGAATATTGCCTTGTAATATAACTGAGCTTTGGTTGTAGTATCAGTGGTATACTGGAGCCTGGTCTAGGTACTGGATAGCCTGAAAATACATAGGGTAATACTTGAATATTGCCTTTGTTGTAATATAACTGAGCTTTAGTTGTAGCATCAGTGGTACACTGGAGAGCCTGGTCTAGGTACTGTATAGCCTGAAAATGCATAGGGTAATTCTTGAATATTGCCTTTGTTGTAATATAACTGCGCTTTGGTTGTATTATCAGTGATACACTGGAGAGCCTGGTCTAGGTACTGTATAGCCTGAAAATACATAGGGTAATACTTGAATATTGCCTTTGTTGTAATATAACTGAGCTTTGGTTGTAGTATCAGTGGTATAATGGAGAGCCTGGTCTAGGTACTGGATAGCCTGAAAATACATAAGGTAATACTTGAATATTGCAATTGTTGTAATATAACTGAGCTTTGGTTGTATTATCAGTGGTATACTGGAGAGTCTGGTCTAGGTACTGGATAGCCTGAAAATACATAGGGTAATACTTGAATATTGCCTTTGTTGTAATATAATTGAGCTTTGGTTGTATTATCAGTGGTATACTGGAGAGCCTGGTCTAGGTACTGTATAGCCTGAAAATACATAGGGTAATACTTGAATATTGCAATTGTTGTAATATAACTGAGCTTTGGTTGTAGTATCAGTGGTATACTGGACAGCCTGGTCTAGGTACTGGATAGCCTGAAAATACATAAGGTAATACTTGAATATTGCTTTTGTTGTAATATAACTGAGCTTTAGTTGTAGTATCAGTGGTATAATGGAGAGCCTGGTCTAGGTACTGGATAGCCTGAAAATACATAGGGTAATACTTGAATATTGCCTTTGTTGTAATATAACTGAGCTTTGGTTGTATTATCAGTGGTATACTGGACAGCCTGGTCTAAGTACTGGATAGCCTGAAAATACATAAGGTAATACTTGAATATTGCAATTGTTGTAATATAACTGAGCTTTGGTTGTATTATCAGTGGTATACTGGACAGCCTGGTCTAGGTACTGGATAGCCTGAAAATACATAGGGTAATACTTGAATATTGCAATTGTTGTAATATAACTGAGCTTTAGTTGTAGTATCAGTGGTATACTGGAGCCTGGTCTAGGTACTGGATAGCCTGAAAATACATAAGGTAATACTTGAATATTGCCTTTGTTGTAATATAACTGAGCTTTGGTTGTATTATCAGTGGTATACTGGACAGCCTGGTCTAAGTACTGGATAGCCTGAAAATACATAAGGTAATACTTGAATATTGCCTTGTTGTAATATAACTGAGCTTTGGTTGTAGTATCAGTGGTATACTGGAGCCTGGTCTAGGTACTGGATAGCCTGAAAATACATAAGGTAATACTTGAATATTGCAATTGTTGTAATATAACTGAGCTTTGGTTGTATTATCAGTGGTATACTGGAGAGTCTGGTCTAGGTACTGGATAGCCTGAAAATACATAAGGTAATACTTGAATATTGCCTTGTTGTAATATAACTGAGCTTTGGTTGTAGTATCAGTGGTATACTGGAGCCTGGTCTAGGTACTGGATAGCCTGAAAATACATAGGGTAATACTTGAATATTGCCTTTGTTGTAATATAACTGAGCTTTAGTTGTAGCATCAGTGGTACACTGGAGAGCCTGGTCTAGGTACTGTATAGCCTGAAAATGCATAGGGTAATTCTTGAATATTGCCTTTGTTGTAATATAACTGAGCTTTGGTTGTATTATCAGTGATACACTGGAGAGCCTGGTCTAGGTACTGTATAGCCTGAAAATACATAGGGTAATACTTGAATATTGCCTTTGTTGTAATATAACTGAGCTTTGGTTGTATTATCAGTGGTATACTGGACAGCCTGGTCTAGGTACTGGATAGCCTGAAAATACATAGGGTAATACTTGAATATTGCCATTGTTGTAATATAACTGAGCTTTGGTTGTATTATCAGTGGTATTCTGAAGAGCCTGGTCTAGATACTGGATAGCCTGAAAATACATAAGGTAATACTTGAATATTGCAATTGTTGTAATATAACTGAGCTTTGGTTGTAGTATCAGTGGTATAATGGAGAGCCTGGTCTAGGTACTGGATAGCCTGAAAATACATAAGGTAATACTTGAATATTGCAATTGTTGTAATATAACTGAGCTTTGGTTGTAGTATCAGTGGTATAATGGAGAGCCTGGTCTAGGTACTGGATAGCCTGAAAATACATAGGGTAATACTTGAATATTGCCTTTGTTGTAATATAACTGAGCTTTAGTTGTAGCATCAGTGGTACACTGGAGAGCCTGGTCTAGGTACTGTATAGCCTGAAAATGCATAGGGTAATACTTGAATATTGCCATTGTTGTAATATAACTGAGCTTTGGTTGTAGTATCAGTGGTATAATGGAGAGCCTGGTCTAGGTACTGGATAGCCTGAAAATACATAAGGTAATACTTGAATATTGCAATTGTTGTAATATAACTGAGCTTTGGTTGTAGTATCAGTGGTATAATGGAGAGCCTGGTCTAGGTACTGGATAGCCTGAAAATACATAAGGTAATACTTGAATATTGTCTTGTTGTAATATAACTGAGCTTTGCTTGTATTATCAGTGGTATACTGGAGAGCCTGGTCTAGGTACTGGATAGCCTGAAAATACATAGGGTAATACGTGGATATCATTATTTTGTTGTATCTACATATTTAAATTTGTTGTAGTCACAATGGTAATCGAGAGACCGGTCTACACACAGAATAGCCTGAAAATATATACAATTCTAACACAATTCTATACACAATTCTAACACCAATGCTAAATACTCAATAATAAAAACAATACTCAGTCATTGTGACATGCATATTGCATGTAATTTCTTCATCCCAGATACCATTTAGAATACAAATTGTTTCAAAACCATAAACAAGTTAATAAATTTTGTTTGGTAGATGAATTTTGTTTATTTTCCATATGCTACCCACATTTTAGGCTATTACATCCTAGTTTTGGCCATTAAAATAATGTTGTGAAACATATGTGCTTAATATGTGATGACTCAACCTTCTGTGATTCCTGAACATGTACATGCATCAAGGACAGTTTACAAATCAATTCCATGATTAACATCACGTAAGGTGCATCCAAATTAGGCAGTATATCTTATTTTATGGCTTTTATTTGAGATTAACAATTGATAATCCAGGTTCATTTCCTAAATACTAAAAAATGTATAAATCACACAAGCTAGGCCATGAATGATCAATATCCTCTGATCAATGAAATCAGAGATTGTAACAATTATACTCCTAATGTTTGAATAACAAGATTCTTCTAAGAATAATTTTTAAAGATTTGACATTTATACCTTAGATTTTCGGGATCACCTCATTATACCGAAGCGCATTGTGCCGAAAAACAATATACCGATGTGCATTGTACTGAAGCCCGTTATACCGATGCACGCTGAACCGAAAACCATTGCTGTATATCGGCACCATGATTTTGTGATGTTAAAAGGCTTGTAATGGAAGATGTATGATAAGAGTAGAAGAGTATGATAAGTATTATTGAAAATAAACCAGCCAAGAAATAGCAACAGAATACTCATATAGGCTTCCCTAAGGAAGGGAAACTAAAAACTGCAAACACTGTAAAATCACAGCCCAAGTTAAACCTTCCCGTACATGTTGTTAGTCTGCGAAAATATGTCACTTATCATTTCTTATTGAAGTTTAGTTTGGAACAAAATAGATTTAAGAAGACATTGTAAGCTTTCCAATGGTGTACTGTATATGTGGCTGGCTATTTCAAATCATATATAGTGTTGCCAGTCAGCAAAAAATGTTTTGTCTTCTATTGTTAAAGTTCAATGCGTTATGGTTGATTCACTTCTGTTAGAAAGGAGATTAAAGCACCAATGGTGCGTTGAGTGTTGTTTATGTGGCTATTTCAAATTATAAAAATGTACGTAATGTTGTCAGTTTGCGAAAATATGTCGTCATCTATTACATAACACGTTACATTTCATTTCAATTCATTGTATTTTGTTTTTACATTTGATCCTGTTTCTTTGCCCTCGAGAAGGAATCCTTGAACTAAGGCTACACAACACAGAATCAATGTTAAAACTTTCGAAGATAAGTTCTAAATCAGACGTCCTTTGGCCATAGGCCTATTCCTATAAATTCTTGTTTTCCGAATAAATAGATGGACAAACAGACAAACAAATGGGCAGCTTTTCTATCTCTGGGGATAAAATGGAAACGGTGACAGGTTGTTCTAGTCTCAAAGTAGATGTTCTCCTGTTTGTAAGGATTTTTGTCAATCCTAACTAATGAATATCATATATCAAAACTTGAAAACTGTCTAATATTTTACTCCAAATAAACTTCAATATGTGTTCACTAATTTGTCTATCAATTATCTATCAATTACCTTGCGTTGCATTGTCTCTTAAACATTACAAGCAGATAGTTACACACAGGAAAACTTTTCGGTACAATGCGTGTCGGCATTATGGCATTCAGTATAACTCCCTTGTTTAAACAATAACAGTATGGTCATGTACTAGACTGCTACTTTGGTTTGTGGTTATGACTGCATTTAAGACTTGGGTCTCATGTATGTACAATGTATACTTGAAAAGGTTCATACATTGTATGTACAGTATATTGGTTGGGTCACAGGACTTAAGTTTTTTTTGGCTATTCCATTGTTACGCATAATGGATAAGTATAGCCCTAGTTCATTTAACCAGTGTAGCCACCGTTTTTAATGTCTTTCTAATCAAATGCGAAAGTGCTCTAATAATGAAAGTGAAAGCCACTGTTAGGAATTCCCCAAAATAAATGTCACAACGAATGTCTCCATACCATCCAAAGCATATTAATGACGTAATACTCGTAACCCGCTCTTGTGGAAATCCAATGTAATGTGACGTCATTTCCCTAACAATGATAGCTTTGGAGGAACCCCAAAACTGTCAGTGGATTCTCAAAATTATTTTATGTTTATATATAAAATTAACTCTAAATTGGGTATATAGGCGTTTTTTCATATTGCAAAGGATTCCTTATATTAATACAAATATATGATAATAATATACAAATATTGAATTCTGTGGAGTTGAATATCTGTATTTATCCCATACTTGGACGTGTTACAGGTACATAAAGCCGGTTTGTAAAAACTTATATTTCCATCAGCGGGCAGATATAGCTTTACGTCCCGCGCCGAGCGGGCAGATATAGTATATCTACGTCATAATCGCCGCTCGCATATTTGTTCATAATTTGTAACGTTCGCGTAATGACTGTAAACGACAATGGAGAAAACACAGACAATCGGGATCTGTTTGATGGTTTAAAAAGGGAAGGAGCAACCACTTAATCAATCAAAAATTCGAGAAAATAAATATGGGAATATTTGAGAGAACAGGAAAATCCACCCACGGCCAAGAAAACAAAATTGACATGAATATTCTAAAATATTTCCACGATTGAACAATGTGAACCAGATGACCAAGATTGGTATGGGATAAACATATTATTCTATAGTCGGTTCAGGATATTGGGATTATCCCTTGGCCAAGATAATATATTTTCCCTCGGGACCTGTGGCCCTTGGGCAGATATATTATATTTGCCTCGGGATAATCCCAATATCCTGAACCTCATATAGGATAATCTTTATATATTTCTGAATATTCAATTTCTTTTTTTACGTGAAATGAAAGATGAGTATCCAAGGCTTTGGAAAGGAATGAAAAACACTTTAAGAGTTATACAACCTTTAACTGAAGTAAGGTGTTCACTCGGATAGGGTTTAGTGTACTTGATATCTCATAATTGATATCTCATTGATTTAAGTGATAACAACACAGCAGGACAAGCAAATCTCATTGTTTGAGGGAAAAAGCCAATGATAAGTTCATTTTTTAACGACAAGATGCTAAAATATGTTTTGCTATTGACATGCTTACTTGGAGAAAGCACGATAGATGCTTTGAGAATTGTTGATGGTTTGTATAATTTTTGTATAACTATTTATCATTCGAATTTTAAGAGAACCAACCATATTACCTAATAATAAAGAAAATAACTAAAAGTTAAATGAAGTAAATAAGTTACTTTCATTCTTTTTTGATAAAGAATAGTTGTGCTGAACATTTAAAGAGGCATGTTGCCATTAAGGAAGCACACTACAGACTAATCAAGTTTAGGAGAACTCAAATATACCTGCCATGGTATTTGACCCGAATTAGCCACCTGGTTTTGAAACTGGTAACAACTTACTGGCATCTGGGTTATTGGAAAAACTGATAGAAGTCGAGTCACTGAATTTCTTGATTAATTGTATAGTTCTAAATGGATTAATGTAAAACTCCATGGACATACAACTAGCTGATCTTGTTGACATGTGAATCATGATTTAACCTTAAAATTGTGTTCCTTAAAAGAATAATACTGGTATACTTTTTGCATGGGGGTGCCCCTGAGGTTCAAATATCCACCCACATCTAGGGTTTTTATTCTTTAACAATGGACTCACATCTAGGTTTTTTATTCAAAATTGGACCCTGATATCTAGAGATTTTCCTTCAAACATAGACAAACTTCTAGGGATTCTTAGAGATTTTCCCAGGAATTTGGGAATCTCCCCAGCAAAAATTGTCAACCTTGGCTGTCAAACACGTCTTGTGACAAGATCATTAAAGTTGTCACCCACATCAATTCAACAAGTAAAGGCATTAACATGACAAAATGTCACCAAGTTAAGTCAGATTTGAATTTCTGAGAACTCTGTATATGATTTTGAAAAAAGATTGGTCAATTTGAAGCAAGTTTTTTGACCCTAAGAAGGTCATTGAAGGTAAAATCTCAAATCTGAAGTCAGATTTAAACTTCTGAGAACTTGTACATGATTTTGAAAAAATTGGTCAATTTCTAACAAGTTAAAAAAAGACCATTTTGACCTTGAGAAGGTCATTGAAGGTCAAATCTTTTTTGACCTTGGGAATGCCATTGAAGGTCAAATCTATAGTCAGATTTGAAATTTTGAGAACTTGTAGATGATTTTGAAAAAAGAAATTGGTCAATTTGAAGCAAGTTGAAAAAAGACCTTTTGACCTTGAGAAGGTCATTGAAGGTCAAATCCTAAATCCAAAGTCAGATTTGAACTTCTGATAACTTGTAGACGATTTAAAAAAAAATTGTTCAATTTGAAGCAAGTTGAAAAAAGACCTTTTTGACCTTTTTTAACCTTCTTTTGACCTTGAAAAAATCATTGGAGGTCAAATCTTACACGTAAAGTCAGATTTGAACTTCTGAAAACTTGTAGATTATTTGGAAAAAAGTGAAGTCAGTCTATACAGTATTTGTTAAGTTATTGGAAGTTTAAAGAATTTGTTACAGATGCCAACTGGCACCCGCCACCCGCAAATCGCCAACCACCAACTGCCGCCACAAAATAACGGAGACCATAACAATATGTTACCACTTCTTAAAAAGTGTTGGGATTTCTCAGTGAAAAATTGACCCACTTTTGCGGCACATCCTCATATAATCCAAGGGTGTAATAAAAATCATGAGGTGAAATATTAGATCTTAGCCAATCTAGTTGACTTGAATGTCTAGGCATGTGTTAGACAAGAGCATGATAGAGAGAAAAATGAAAGATGGGCTTGAAGAATTACATGTACATACTTTATACTGTAGTCTTGGCTTCATATAAACATAGTTAAACTAACATCTCTTAAGTTGATTATGCATTTCAGGTCTAAGCGCTTCTATTGATATCAGAATGACATTTGGAATAACAACTGGTTGGGGAGATCCACACTATAGAACATTTGATGGTCTAGATTATGACTTCCAGGGTACTGGCAAATACTTGTTTGTTGAATCAACAGATGGGGAATTCAAGGTATATGAATAAACAGATATACACTGTACATATCAAATAAATTCACTCTTCATTAGTCTTCAAGATAAAGAACTAAATTAAATCCAATGAGATTGTTTCAGATATGATGTGATATGCTCCCTCTCCCCCTCCCTGTTCTAAGTCTGATGGTTCAATAGAAAATCTCATGCTCACTTATATATTTATAGGTTGAGGTGCAAAATACTCCATCAGTGAATCCAAGTGTGTCACTCACCCTATATGCAGATATTTACGTAGGGGATGATATCATAAGACTACATGTTGCCAATACAGCAAAGGTAAGTCTTAGTCAAGCCCAATATCTTTTTGAGAATAGGTATTCTGGCCATATCCATCTTCTGATCATCCAGTATTTGTTTTATTATGCACCTTCTCAATCAAATTTTTGAGTGTGCTACTAACATTTTTATAACTTTTGATTTTTCTTAAAACTCAGACAACTTCTGTTATACCTAACAGAAAAGCGTTGTAAAAGGGATTTTCTTTTCATTTAACCATGGACTTTCAGAAGCCCATGATTTAGTATAGCAATTCTGTTGTATTGCTTACAAGTTCTGACTAAATGATTAGGAACCTTTTTTTATTTTTATTTTGTTTGGCACACAGTACATGTATCTATTTCAAATAAAACTCAAATTATAATAAAATAAAATTCTTAAGGATTCTTCATTTCTTTAACAAAAATACTGGACAGTCTCCTGCCAGATTTTGAAAAAGTACCTGTCCCTTTTCACAAAAGGGTCGAGTACTAAAAAGACACATGGTGAAAAATGTTGCAGCTTTGAACAAAATATAAAAAAGGGTTAATACATCAAAGTTTGTAAATATGCTGCCTTAACACTTACCAAGAATGCCCAAAAACCTACATGTAATCATTCTAAACTTTCATCTGTTCAAATATCCCTGAAAATTTCAGATGAATCCTCAAACTGTTAGGCTGAAACCTGTTTGGCTGAAAACCTGTACAGAAGCCTTGACAGACAAGATTTTAGGATGAAAATCCAAAATGGTTGCCTTAATACTTATCCAGAATGCCCAAAAACTAATCAGTTCTTAACTTTCATATGAGAAACATCCTTGAAAGTTTCAGATGAATCCCTTAAAGGGTTTGGTTAGAAACCTGTAGACAAGCCTTGACAGACAAGATTTCAGGACTGAAGATCCAAAAATGGCTCCCTTAAAATTTACTCAGAATGCCCAAAAACTAATCAATAGAAACATCCTTGAAAGTTTCAGATGAATTCCATATTTTATTGAAGATGTATATGCACTATGATGTACATCAAGTAAAGTAAGGGACATGCTGAATAATCACAATGTTGCGATAGCTAGGAAGGCACAATCAAGACACCTCTGGACATTTTTTGCATTTTGGGCCGTACCACTTATTCACTATCTACTTATCATACTTGTCAGTATGATCACGAGACCAAAGGAACTCAGTAAATGGCAGTTTTAGAAATTCTAAAAGAAATTAAAAACTAGCTTTAAATTTGATTGGCTGCCTGCCTCAAGTCATTTGCCGATGCTCATGTGCTTGTGTCACTTCACAGGGTATCCCCTCAATTACTCAGATGCGAGTAGGTAGTTACCACTTTCGCCACCAGGTGGCTGATTCGGGGGAATTACAAAATTCCCTTAAACTTGAATATGCATCAGTTTTAGTTGTTCACTTTTCATATTACCTTTATGTATCTGATAGTAATTACAAATTAAAATATGTACAGTAAAAGAAAATGTTATCTGCCCAACACAAGAAAAGATATTTCACTTTTTGTGGTTTTACAATATGGGGTCTATGGGGAATCTCCCCGACCTAGAAGTCACATTTTCAAAGAAAATTAAATTTTCAAAGTTGATTAACTCTTTTCAAATCCACATTTGTAAATGTAATTTTACATGTAGATTCCAAATATGACATCAGTTTGACTGAATTATAATTTTTAATGACGTAAATCAAGACTATTACTACTCGCATCTGGGATATTGCCACGATCAAACTCAATTGTGTTCAATTCTGACAGTTGGTTGTTCAGTTGATTTTTTCAATATATCAACAATACATTACCAATAAGTTGTTCTCAAGATATATCTAAGGTACGCAAGATATTATATTAGCAATTATAATTTGACATCACTTATTGTCTGGGAGAGGACCCATTGCATAATTTATCCTTAAACCAACAATACGATATCATTTTCTATTAATCCATTAATTGTCAAGTACATAAAATATAATTACTGCTTGTTTAAAAAAAAAATTCAACACTACTACTCCATCAGTGCAGATATTCACAGAGGGGATGATATCATACAACTAAATGTTAAAACTATACCAAAGGTAAGTGAAATATACACAATGTAATTCATACACATACGAGGGGTGATCCAAAAGTCTTGGACGCCCTGCTCTAATTTTGTTGGTTTTTGATAAAATTACTTTAAACTTTCCAATAATAAGGAATAACATCTTAACTACCTTGTGTATTAATTTCATGGAGAAATGATATGGTTTATGTAGTTTTCTAGATAGTTTTTAATACAGGGACCCTGCCACCCGGAACAGTATTCGCACATGACAACTTTCAGCCTTAAATGTTGCCGCCATTTGACTTGTTTTGCAAGTCTTGAGCACTCTCTTTATTTGAATTTTGAATGTTAAACCATGTTAGTTTACTTACTTTGTTACTAGGCAACCAGTTAATTGTGTTTTATATATATTGTCACATATAAAAATGGCCATATATGTCAAATTCTAAGAAAATGACATCAGACAAGCAACCCTCATTCTGGTATCCTTTTTGCTCCAAAATGGCTGCTGAAATGCAGAACATGAAAGAAATAAAACTGGAACAAAGAATACTACAAGGTATTCTCACTATTATTGACCTTTAGCAGCTACTATATGCACAATACAGTCTAGATATGGCTCTGTGTGATTGTCTTCCTTTTCTCCAAGTTAGAAGGGGGGTTAAAAAATGTTTTTTTATTCATTGGATGAGGTTTAGAGTGGCACTCCAGCACCATTTGTATCACATAAGGAATGGCGATTTCATAAATGTCTTCCATTCATTGGTAAAGCGGTATGAAAGATGTGTTCAAATTCATGAAAAATATGTTGAAAAGTAGGTCTTAATATGTGAAGATGATGATGGCAGATGACACTGAGATCGAAAATCGGAAATTCTCTCATATCATGACTGGTGTTAGATTGTGCACCTGCACCTTAAGTATTTGCCATATTATAACAGTTGTGACGCGATTTGCTATATTCAAATACCGTTCCGGGTGGCAGGGACCCAGTGTTAAAAAATACTTACCAAAAAGCTAAAATAAATTATTTTCTGTTGAAACTTATACACAAAGTTGTTAAGATGTTGATCTTTATTATCTGAAAGTTTCATGCAATTATATTAGAAAATAGCAAAGTTAGAGCGGGGCGTCCAAGACTTTTGGATCACCCCTCGTACATGTAACAGTATGAGGACATGAAACTCTGGTAAGCTTACATTAATTATTTTCTTCATAGGTGAATAATATCCCTGTCGTTGAATTTCCATATAAGGATGGCAAGAAGTCATACGTTGTAACACAACTAGATGGTATAACATCATTTATTTCTCCCAAACTGTACTTTGCAGTGGATATGCAATATGGAATATCAGTTGCTGTAGGAGAAAAGTGGAAGGGCAAGGTAGGCTCAATATTGCGCATTTAATTGTTAGAATTTAAAATGGAAAGCAGAATAAAATAGATTATGACGGAGGTAGAAAAGGGAAATACTAGATTTCTAAAAGAAATGTATGCATATGCTTTAGCCCTGTGATAGTTGATACGATTAAATGAAATGTCATATTGACCTAGTTTTAATTAAAAATAGTCACTCAAACAGCTCATTTAAGCATCAAATATACAGAGTTATATGCCACATTTACTAAGGAAAACATATGTATTCAGAGGTAGAATGAATATTGAATTTAATAATATAATTCTCAAGAAATTTCTCTAAATGGTGAGAAATACAGAAAAAGTGGCAAATGCCACTTAACTCCTCATTTTGAACTTTTCATAATATAACAAACAAATAATTCTGGCCACTCTAAAAACAAGTGTCGTTTTTTCCCCGAATTATTGGAAAAACAATGGATTCAGAGGCCAATTGAGAAATGAGGTAAAGAAGCATTCAAGTTTTAGCCAAAAATATCATTGAAATGAAAACTGTAGGTGGATGGCCTTGCTAAAAACTTTGATGGAGACATGGAAAATGACAAAACAGACAGAAATGGAGATGATGTCAGTAATATGAGCAACCTTGGATCCTTAATTGGGATTAGCTATGATGTTGATAATATATCTAGGTGAGTCAAGCTTCCTTTACACTCAGAAACACTGTTATTAACTGAAAATATTGCAATGGTCAATCAAAGGTAGAAGTTATGTCTTAAGCATTACTTAAGTTTGATTGCGATGACAGTGACAGCAAGTTGGCTACTTTGATCAAAAATAACAAGGCACATGACGTGAACAAGATCTTACCATCAAAAAACTTTCAAAATGGATGCCAGAAGTTAATCAGCTCTAGAACTTGATATCCTCTATCATGTGTGCAGATTAATGATGGAGACAATCTGACATGGCGAAGATCTATCAGAAAACCTTCAAAATGGCCACCAGAAAACAAGATGGCCTCCCAAAAGTTAATCAGCTTTACAATTTGATATCCTCTATTATATGTGCGAATTTGGAGAAAAATCTACAAGCAGTTAAAAATTTCCTGCAATGGCGAATACAAGAATTTCCGAAAAAAATTCATATGGCCACCAGAAAACAAGATGGCTGCCCTAAAGTTAATCAGCTCTAGAATTTTATATCCTCTATCATTTGTGCAAATTAGGAGAAAATCCAATGAGCGGTTTTCCTGAAATGGCGATGACAAGATTTTCTGAAAAACCTTCAAAATGGCCACCAGAAAACAAGATGGCCACCCAAAAGTTAATCAGCTCTAGAACTTTATATCCTCTATCATGTGTGCGAATTTGGAGAAAATCCGATGAGTGATTTCCCTAAAATGGCGATGACAAGATTTTCCGAAAAAAACTTCAAAATGGCCACCAGAAAACAAGATGGCTGCCCTAAAGTTAATCAGCTTTAGAATTTTATATCCTCTATCATTTGTGTGAATTTGGAGAAAATCCGATGAGCGGTTTTCTTGAAATGGCAATGACAAGATTTTCAGAAAAACCTTCAAAATGGCTGCCAGAAAACAAGATGGCCACCCAAAAGTTAATCAGCTTTAGAACTTTGTATCTTCTATCATGTGTGCGAATTTGAGGAAAATCCGATGAGTGGTTTTCCTGAAATGGTGATGACAAGATATTCCAAAATGCTTCAACATGGCTGCCAGAAAGAAAGATGGCCGCCCAAAAGCTAATCAGCTCTAGAACTTTATATTCTCTATCATGTATGCAAATTTGAAGAAAATCCGATGAGCGGTTTTCCTGAAATGGCGATGACAAGATTTTCAGAAAAACTTTATATCCTCTATCATGTGTGCGAATTTGGAGTAAATCTGATGAGTGGTTTCATACAATTTAGAAGTATCCTCATAGTTTAAAGGTTGTATATAACTATTATTAAAAGTGATTTTCACTCCTTTTCAAAGCCTCAATACTGCTGTGTATATTAAATATTGTTTTTTTACACATTTCGAGTAAATACTCATCTTTCATTCCATATAATGGAACCAGAAATTGATATAAAATTGATGGAGTGAGAGCTGTTACAATGACCCCTACTTTTAGCAATTTTCAGAATGTTTCGTCCAGTGTATTTAATGAGGGGTCGACCTTAATTCAATAACAATAACATCGCTGTTTTGGGCTTATTTCTTGAAAGCATTACAGGCTATTATCATCATATACTTGAATTAATATGAAGAATAGATTGCAATATGATACAACTCTCATATTACCCATGTTAGAGTTCATTTTGTATGTAAATGTAAAATAATTTGGGGAATCCACTATCAGTTTGGGGGTTTCTCAAAAGCTATCATTGTAAGGGAAATGACGTCACATTACATTGGATGTCCACAAGACCGGGCTATGAGTATAACGTCATCAATGGGCTCGATGGTATGGATATATTCATTGTGGCATTTGTTTTGGGAAATCCTAGCAACAAGCAAATACGTTCACCTTTATTATTAGAGCATTTTCACATTTGTTTAGAAAGTGAAAATGTATTTGTTGCATTTAATTGATAAAAAAAATTAATCTAATTGATGATATTCTTAAAAAACTCATTTTACTATTTTCTAAGCCCTTGATAGTTAAATACATCCTTTAAATCAATTCATCTGTTTGTCTGGATGATAAGCAAAATGGAGAAACAGGATGACTGACTGAAAAACCTAAAAGGCAAACTTAAAAATAGTTATATATAAATTACTTATTATAGAAAAGAACTAATTAAGACATCCCTGAGTAATAAAATGCAAGCTTTTTTCAGGTTTTCCTCGAAATGTGGTAACAAATTATGTGAAATATATCATCCTAGCCAATCACTTCTAAGAAAAAAAGACAAGAAATGTGTTATTCAAAATTATTTCCAGGAGTGATAAGGTGATACCTCTAAATGATATACCACCTATTATGGAACTTTGTATTACTCCTAGACAGAGAAGAGCTGCAGAACGTGTTTGTCAATTGATATTTGATTTTGAGGATGGACCTTTTACAGAATGCAAAGATCCGTAAGAAAATGTCATAACAGCACAATACTCGCTTTATTTTTAGTCACTTTATTTAATTAAATGGAAAACAAATGTAAACATTTTACATAATTTGTTTGAGGCATTATCATTTTCGTTCTATCTTAAGTTTATATCCATTTTTGCAAGTTTTCATATTTGCGATGTTTTTGTGCTTTCCCATTTTAGATCATTCCAAAAAAGAAGAGAAAGACTAATTAGAGATTGCACCTTTGATGTCTGTGATGATTTCAAAAACTACTGCAACATTGTTTTCAAATTCCTTGACTTAATGGATTGTGTTGCAGATGACAATTTTAAATGTGGTAAACACTGCTTAGCAAATACAGGGTGGTCCACAATAGTGTGCCATGAGTTATCTTGAATAACTGTTGATTATCCATGATAGAGAGTTCTAAATGAGTTATTCACTGCTTCAAATTACGATTTTAACGCTAGTGCATACATTAATACATCTGACAAAGTTCTTAATCCTTGATCAAATGCATTATGGATGTTGATTATTTTGCGGTTGATTGCTTGTTTGCAATCTGCAGTGGTTTAAGAGGGGTCAATATAGACACTTTGCTTCAAATATTTCTTCTCTTGATCTTGTGGAGAATACCGTAGCAAACATGGTCACCAGGCAGTGGCTCATTCTGGTACTCATAGCATACTCGTACACGTTATAGCAACTCTCTCTCTGTTGCATCTCCAGAAGGAAAGATATGGAGAGTGTGTGGCTTACCAAGATGACAATGGCCAATGATCTAGTAACCTTATATGAACCGTGTCTTGTGTAGTTCAGCATCTCTGAACCACAAATCGCATTCGTATGAAACTAGGAAGAGTTCATACGTACATTGAATTAAATACACTTTTGACAAATAAAAAGCCTATATCATGGGTAATAATAAGTTACTGGCCAACTTTACTGGACCATCCTATATAGTGAGAATTAAAAAATACTTGCGTGTGAAAATTAAAAACAAATATGCGTAAAAATAGCATTCATTGAGCGATTACTAGAGTGCTGCTAACTCGATAAAAGGCTGGCGCTGGCTAGAATTGTCTATGGTTCTAGCCAGGATAAAGATACCAGTTCTTCAACTCGACAATGGGAAGAACTGCTCTACCTTAGTGACTAATATGTCATTATATGACATCTAAAGAGTCAATAAAAGATATATACTGTATAATATTTTTGGATCTTTTAAGTTTGATTTTCTCTGAGTTAATGTAATAACACAAATAAGATAAAACGGATTTTAGTAAAATACGCTTATTTGTTTTTCAGCTGAGGTTAATATGACAGGTAAGTGCATAATAAACAAATGCATTTTTTTTAAAATAAATAATAAAATGTGACTGCTTTGAAAAGAGAGTAAAATGGATAGAAATGTAAATAAATGTAATGTGAATAAAATATTGTAAGCAATATTTTCAAAAATCATTCCAGCTCTTCTCTTAACGTCTTTATTTTGTTTTCTGAAATGAGAATTCAATATGTTGGCAATAAAAAATGTTATGGCTAATTAAACAAAAATGTGAACCTTTTTGGCCTACCCTGTAGGTGATCCACATATGGTTCAGCCGATAGAAGGTTCCTTACTTCCACTGTGCTACAACTTTGATGGTGAAATGAATACAGCATACAAACTTCTAATGCAACATGATAATGGTAAGTCAGACAGCAATCTTGACAATTTAGAGGACTCTGAATCTTCTATTATGTGTTAGATAGATGATTTCATTTAAACCACACATGAAAATCAAAAACACAAAAGAACAACATGGTTACTTTGGATATATGTTAAAGGTCAAGTCTGACATGATACATTTCAAAGAGAAATCAATATACAGACAAATTCTACACTTATGTCAAAAATACATTTCATAACATAAAGTTTTATTCTGTATACTTTGTAGAAATCAATGTTGAATTTGGCGATGGGACAAGGAAGATCACCCAAGTGGCAATCATAACAAAAACTGTTACCATCCACTTGACCATTCTACATGTGACTATCAATGGCGTGACAAAGGAGTGGACTGATGACAATTTTGCTCTGGAAGGGGGCCATATGGAAATCATTGGTAGTGATGTATATTTGGAGCTTGACTCTGGCTTGAAGATCCACTTTGTACGGAGCCATAGACACCATTTGTTCAACATGTTCCTTGATGAGATGCACAGAATCCCAAAAGATGCTTCTGGAGTGATTGGTAATAAGCACCTAACTCAAATTTCTCCTATGGATCAGAATTAGATTTTATGAGTGATTTCTACACATGAACTCTACACATGATTACAAGGCCAACTTAAAACAAGAGATCATTTTAAAAAAATGAAGGCTCGTGTGAAGGAGATGTTTGCAGTGTTGTAATGAATTGTATTGATAAATAGGGATGCTTACTTTTAACGCGGTTGTAATTTACCGAACGGCAAAAGTAGAAAAAATCCGAACATTTTGAACTGATTAAGATCTTTAAATTGTGAAGGTCTGAGTACCTGGACCTCTTGGAAAACATCCGAGCATTTCTAAAAGTGAAGATGGGTCAATTTGATTCTCGTTCTCCGAAGATATTAATAAAATAGTTAAACGTTCTGAGTTTTTTCATCTGTAAATTGTTCACAATTCTAAATCAAGAAGTCGCTCGTATTTCTGTCGTATCATGTTGCCGAAAATCAGTGCGCAGAATTCATGGTGTTGTTGTAAAATATGCATATTGTCGTTTGAAACCCTCTCTAACACAATTTTATTATAAACTAACACCTCAGGTTAAACTTTTGCTCGAGGAATTAACTCATTTTCATCAACAAATATTAACCCATCAGGTTTTCTACTAGTAAACTAACGTTTAAACCTCAGTCCATTGTCGTTATCACTTACTACTATATCCAAGTGAGATATGGCTCTTGCCCTAGCACGAGAAAATAAGGGCTTCGGTGCTATTACACAAACTCTTTCCTAGAGACATGCGGTTGTAGGTATGCAACCTTTTAAATTCAATAAATTCAATATTTTCAGGATATGTGTCCAATCATGCTACCCTGGAAGACAATGGAATTGACCCGGCACAACTAATGATTGATGATATCCCTATTGATGTTATCAAGAAAGAAGGAAAATGCTGGCAAGTTCCTCATCATAACCAACAAATATTGAACAACCTTTTTGATCAATTCAAACTGGACAAGATCTTGGAAAATTAAACTTTAAAAGAGAATGAACATAATTATAGTAGGTTTTGGACAAAACTAATCATTATTTCACTGCCACATCTCCCACTCTCTCATTGGTACAATTGATTATATCATTCATAAAATCCAAAAATAAGAATTTATTTTACATACCTATGATGACGTATGGTGTAAACTGTAAATTGACAGTGGGCCAATATGAGTTTTGAAAAGCCTGCACCCGCTAACTTTCTGATTGGTCTACTGGGACTACAATGCAGTACTAACCGATCAACTGAAGCATAGTTTTATCTTCAGCTGATCAGGTAGTACTCATATTGTAATACACATATATATTGGGTCAAAATGACTCCACATGGGAAAAGACCATCAAAGGTTTTTTGTTGGTCAATTAGATAAGGTCTTTGACCAATCATAGGTATGTTATAAATCGTTTATGTCACAATTGTGCCACATATGCTCTGATTCTCAGAGATCAATGTCCCTCCCAAGGTTGGGCCATATATCACTGAAAACCTTGGGCATATATGCCACAATAGTGACATAACCTCTAAGTAGTCTTCATTCAAGAGACCTATTCTGTCGCGTCAACCTTTTTCGTCCTTCTATAAGGGATTGAATTCTTTTCAGACTTGCCCACTTAGAGATTGGAGAATTATAAAAGTGAAAAATAAAACAAATTTTATACTCTTTTTCATGATTACCTCAAACATAGTTCCTCGATTTGACTTAAATGTATTTTATCAATATTCAAAATATAACAATCATGTACATAACGGGGGAATAAAGGCTTGACAATGGTTAACTTGACCAGCTAAGCAGCAACATCTGTGTTATTGTTTAATTGATACACTAAACAATTACAGGGTGACCCCAAAATGCAACCTTCTAATCTTCATATGACTCAATTTTTGTTGAAATCTTCTTGATCTCCCTTGTGTAGAGGGTTCAATCATGGGCTTTCAAGTGACAAACAGTTATTAAGTAACATTAACAAAATCTAAAACTTGAGTATATATAGTTGACAACTAGAGTATTCACGTTTTCTGTCAAGGCAGGCCATCAGATGAAGAAAATCTAATTGTCTCCATATTGACATTGAGAAACTCTAACCTGCGGGCCCCATAGTGAGACATAATGAACCAAATGATCAAACGGATAGACTGATGGTGCCCCTGTGATTCTTTTATAGAATCATGAATATGTTACGCAAAAGTAATGAATAATGAAAAAATCGAAACAAAGAAGTTGAATATGAAGCTTAATATGAAGATGTTACTCACCAGTGAGTGTTTCTTTAGTATACCATACATATTGGCCAGGTGTTTCAAGGCTTCTACATGATCAATTTGTGTCTCTAAGACTTGCAGTATAAGCTCCTCTGCCTTGTCATACTGCTTCAAACTGGTCAATACTTGCGCCTAAAAAATAGTATTTTAATTTTTATAGATCCTTTCTGAAAAGTAGAGCAAGATTAAACTATTGATGTTGTTCAAAAATGATAAATTGCGTTTAGTGCAACAACCCTTTAAAATGAAATAATATCATTTTGGAAACCTCTTAACATTTCATCTTACCCCAAAAAAACTCCCATTTCCCCTGAAAGTTACACAACCCAAATTTACTTTCTTGAACTGTAAAGCTTTCCTTATAGTGGAGTTGATGGAATTGGATCAGCCAGAACTTCTTTACATGGTTACAACTCTCTAAGACACAGAAGGTACTACATGTATGATGAACTGACAAAATGGTCTTTATCATAACCAAAACAAGAATCAGGACTCACATAGTGTACTTTTACATCTGCATTGTGGGGGTCTTTAAACAATGCCTCTTGGAATAGTTCTAAAGCTGTATCAGGCTCTGCTGTGTTAAAGTAGAATATTCCAGCGAGATCTAATGTCCCTGGATTGCGCTCTATCCACAATGCACTACAAAACGTACAGAACAATATTATTTATAATCTTGGATAATATTAACAAATGACTAAATGCTGGACATAAAAGGTGTGCATTTCATAATCCATTGCTCTCAGAGTGTCACATTTCCCTGTTATAAAATTCCTTAGTTAAAATGTAAAGTAAAATAAACTCCTAGATGACAGGAAACGGGATGACTGAGCATAATAATGGCGAAGACTCCTTAAGCAAGCTGATTTATTAATATCAAAAATGCCCCTTTTTGAATTTGGACCAAAAAAGAAAAATACCAAAATTATATCAAAATATATCATTATGACAAATGTTCCTTATATTACTCAGATGTTCACCAACCATCCAATTTTTGAAGGTTTCATATCACATGATTCAATTAGCACAGTACTGTCAACCCCCAAAGATTTTCTCGCGGGACAGATTTTTTAGACCCAGTGCCAAATATTTGCGGGATTTCGCGGGACATCCACCTAAATTCGCGGGATTTCGCGGGACATTTAAGGGATTTGCGTGATTGCGCTAATAGGTCAAATTTTGATCAAATTCGCGGGATTTCGCGGGACCATTCGAGGGACAAACACGCTAATTGCGGGACAGTTAACAGGGTTACCACCAAAGACTTCATAGAGGGACAGATTTTTTCAGACAAAGTGCCCTTTTGCGGGATTTTGCAGGACATCCACCTAAATTTGCGGGATGTCGCAGGACATTCTTGAAAGGGATTTACGTGAGTGGGGCTTAATTTAAAAGTTCTCAAATCAAACTTACTGTACAGATACTGATTTATCAAATATAATGCACTTAACTTAAGTAAACGTCAACACAATTCCACATAATATGGCAGAGATAGAGTATATGAGAATGACCTCGGAATTGCAAACCTCAAAAGTGAGATCATTTGTGTCATTCAGGCCACACCTGCTGAGGAATACGTTCGGCTCATTGACAACTGCAATGGCCAAATCTGAAGCATGTTATTCTAAGTGCTGTAAATTTGTGTCTATCAGTCCGATGGTCATGAAATATGGTAGGGTGGTAGAAAATTGAATGATGTACATATGTGTGAAATATCAGGGAGTAATATCTTAAAGTGACAAAGATATAAGGAAAATGCAGGGTTTCCATTTTTTGACCACCCTGTATCAACAAACCACGCTTTAGTTGTGAGTACCGTAATCCAACACGAAATTCAAAAATTCTGAACAATACTTTGCACTTATGGTGTTCGTGACCAACTATGAAACATTTACCCCCCATAGTGTTACATATTAAAATTTACCTATTCATATTGGGGTTCGATTAATCTACATCAAATTATAGGGAGTTAGGTTTCTTTTCGAGATATCAGTGTCCATTTATTGGAACTCGCGTTTGCTAACATTTGCTCAGTTTTTAGATGAAGGCCGTGACACGCGTAGTAAAAAGGCCAACGTTGGAACTATACGTGACATACATCCCTATTTTTGTAATTAAAATGAAAATTGCACTCTTTCTCTTTATTTTAATACCAAATAACGGCATTCTAGAGATGCCAACTATGGTGTTATTTGGATCAAAATCATAGTTTTATAAATGGACTATATGCTCTTTTCAAAAGCAGTCTTCGATGATCTGATGCACTGTGAGTTTTGCAGCACTTTTCAAATTAGGTAAACTTTACTCCCCAAAAGCGCAAAAACTTAGCTTCTTAATCACAAGATAATCACAATTATTTAGCCTCGGGGATTGTTACAATTTTGAAAATTCGCGGAGGTCAAAGCCGACATTCGCGGGACTTTGCGGGACATTGCGGGACACGCGAATTAGCCAAATTTTGATCAAATTCGCGGGATAATCCCGCCATTCGCGGGACACTTGACAGCTCTGTTAGCATATCAATTAGTAGGTTCAAAATGAGACACCTTCATGTTGAAATAATTGCCTGCCACACAGTGTGAAAATGTATAAAAATAATAAAATATGTATATTTATAAATTATAATTTACTTTGAATGATTACGATGAACTCCTACTCACATGACATCTATATTATAGTTTGATTTACTTACCGATACACTAAATGTGCTTACCTGTCCACATAAATACATGTTTCCGTCATGCGCGTTGAGCAATTTTAAAACACTGATCACATACCACTGGACTTTAACATCTAACAGAACAGAATTTCGAGTGCCTACATTTCAAAGTTACTCAATGCAATGTCATGATGTTATGATCAATCCACAAATTATCAACAATATAATCACAGGCATACCCAGAGGGGGGGGTTGCATCAATTTTTGTAAAATTCAAAACAAATCTTGTTTTGCCTTGCTTAAATGCCACAATCACATCCCCTTGACTGAAAACCCCAAAAATTGACTATCGCACCCCCCTGACTAAAAACTGGCTACGTCCCTGATAATGTTTACCTTCGAAAGAGATTTTCAGCCTCAATATTACGTTCTAGAGAGCGTAACAACCTGGCAGCGTTAACTATTGATACCTGGTGACTTGGATCTATTGTATAGGCCCGTTCATAATACTTCAACGCTTGTTCAGGTTTACCTAATAAGAAAAAGCTTTAATAACATCCAATGGTGATATATTTTATTTATTTATTTATTATTTAGACGTACACTTTTATATCAGTGGCACACTAAAAATATTTAGGTGCGCCAAAATACATACATGATCATTAAAATATCTAAAATAGTTCTTATAAGTCAGGTTTAAAATATTTTGTAAAAAACTGTTTTACCAGTCCATCTACAATGTAAATTGATTGTGCCCCCATTGAATATGACAGAGACATGTGTACGTCATATACATTTATATAAAGGCCCTGATTGTTATATTTCAAGATTGATCTTGGTTAACCTAATAAGAAATATGCCTATCCATGTTTCAAGCATTAGATAATATTTATACATGTCATTTCTTATAGACTGCCTCAACCCCAAATGAATTCATGAACATTAAGAAATATATTCTTAATAACTACATATACATTTATTTATCACCTAATTTTGTTTAATCAATATAAGCTATTTATTCAAATCTTTAAAAAATTGTTTTACAAAAAGTCAATCAGTAACACACCCGGTACCCACCTATTTTATTTAAATATACTCCATAATTATTGAAACAATTTGGATCATGTGGCGCCACCTGCAGGGCCTTTCTGTAGTAAGTATCTGCGTATGTGAATTCCTTCAAATCGGCATATACAGCTGCTAGGTTTGTGTAGCTGTCCACAGAGTTGGGCTCAAGATTTATAGCTTCTAATAGGAACTTTTCAGCTTGGAGAAGCTTATTTTTGGCACTGAAATGAAAGAAGGAAAATGTCACATGTGGGAGCAGTAGGCAGAGAAATGGATGGATGGACAGACAGAAGGGCACAGAGGGATACCCTTTGATGCAAAGTCGTCCTCAAACAGCTAAATATTATACTTAATTTTTTACATGTAAGTGATGGCCAACCTATAATGCCAATATGGAGATTGGTGGCCGATAATGTATTGACTTTACCTCAATAAAGTTTATACTACAGTATATAAAAAAAACAAAAAAAAACAGAACAGATGGACAAATGGAAGAGATTAACCCAAAAATGTTTTAGAATACCAATAAATTGAAGAATATGTTGAAATTTGATTTTTAATGGCTTCTTTATGAATCACATGTCTGGTGTACACTCAGAGGTTTTCTTATTCTCGGTGGGTTCTTTTACCATTTTTGGTTTTTCGCTTTGGCACTTGCATGCACATATTGTAATTTAATGCAAATGAGTTCGCTAGTCTAATAACAAAAAATATTTGTTTCAAATGTTAAGACATCGTAATAAAAACAGTTGAGCGACATCAAGAGTAGATAACAGAGTCCACTGACAAAAGGGTGTGATCTATCTACATGTATATACAATTTATGTCTAAGGAATATAACCCATGTCTGAACTATGGTATCAAATATCCATACTTAGTAACCAATTATCTTTATTTACACATTTGTTAATTTGAAACATAACCTGTTTTAAATCTTAGATTATAATTATTAAATTTAGATAAACATTCCTTGAGAGAACCTCCTTATCTTAACACATAACTGTAAAACCCTGTAAAAAACAACTTTTAATGAGTTTTAACCTCTTGAATCCCAGGCTCTTAAATCGGTTGAAACCAGAGAATTTTTCATTTTGCCACCTTTTGACATTTTACTACATAACTATACAACCTTAGATGCTCAACTCAGTAAAACTAGATGGCAGAGATCATTTCTACACGTTTTTAAAACAATTTTTGTGTAAATTGGATAAAAATTGTTCAAATAAGAGCAATTTTAGTCAAAAATTTGGTGACAGATTTTCTCGTCACTCTGGGTTTCAAGGTCATTTCTGAGATGACAAGAAATCTCGTCACTCAAGGTAGTCAAGAGGTTAATACAGGTTATCAATATAAAATCTGTATATATAAAACATATATTATCAGTACCTCGTAATCCTTGTTAATCCATGTTTATATGTTTGGATTAATGTTTGTTTTTGTTTTTTATTACTATTTTTGTCAACTATAGCTTTATATTTTGATTTTCAAGTGCAACACACTGTCCTTTATATTATGGATCCAACTTTGTTAAAAAAAATTTGTTGCGTTTCATTGAGATGAGATTTCAGAAAATACTATAGAATTACCTGGACAAAAAGTAGGACTTAACTTTATTCTGATTTAGCATTGTTCAAGAACAAAGGTGAAAAAAAATCATGAATGAACGCTGAAATGAACCCAGTCATCTTTTGTTTACAGTCATGTCACAAATATTTGTATATTCTTGCTAAAATGGACCAAAACTGTAATTTTAAAATTCAAGTGTTAATATTGCAGCAAGCTTAGTAAACGACTATCCTACTGTCCTACAGTGGTGTAATTAATCACTGATCTAGCTTGACATAAGAAAGTTCAATTTCAGCAACTTTTACCCTAGTGAGTGTGATGCCCATAAGGCATCAGCCTTAAATCAAAACCTGTCAGACAGTATTTGAGTTATCACAAGAGAACAAAGAAACCAATAGACAGAAAAAAGGAAGGATGGAGCAACAGCTTCTCTAATCTTCTTTAATCCTTGCTAGAAGTTTGATGAAATAAAAATAGGGAAACTTCGTAATAAAAAGGTGTTCAGATACGTAAGTTCAACTGTATATCTGTATATTGAATATATTGAATGAAATGGCACTACACATGAACATAGCTCTTGTCCAATAAGCAATTAGAAAACAACCAAGGAGATTTCAGCATTTTATTTATGAACTAGCATATTATAATTGGGATTAATTGCAGACAGAAGTTCAGCATAAAGAAGTGACAAAAATGACTAAATTTTATGTGCGTGTATGTTTGATTATAATCTCTTGCATAATCTTTATTGGAGTATTCCTGAAAAGTAAAGACACAGAATTAGATGCAGTAGTTGCAAGGTTTTCCAAGGTAATACAGCAAGTACTTTATAATTCTTTATAATTACTTTATGTTCTAAAATATATAAATTAAAAATCCTAGATCCGGTTAAAACCTATAAGCACTTAGTTTTTGGAGTGAAGCAGTACTTTTTTGAAACATTGGCATTAACATTACAAAATATCACCACCTAGTTACTCGCTTTATAATGAGTTCAATCGTAGTCAGATTTGGACTTCTGAGAACTTGTAGATGATTTAAAAAAAAGAATTATGCAATTTGAAGCAAGTTGAAAAAAGACTTTTTAACCTTGTGAAGGTCATTGAAGGTCAAATCTAATGTCAGATTTAAAATTCTGAGAACTTGTAGATGATTTTGAAAAAAAATTGATCAATTTGAAGCAAGTTAAACGATTACCTTTACCTTTTTGAGAGGGTCATTGAAGGTCATTCAAGGTCAAATCATAAATCTAAAGTCAGATTTGAACTTCTGATAACTTGTAGATGATTTTGAAGTTGGTCAATTTAAAGCAAGTTGAAAAAAGACCTTCTTGACCCTGAGAAGGTCATTGAAGCTCAAATCTAAAATCCAAAGTCAGATTTAAAATTCTAAGAATTTCTATATGATTTTGAAAAAAAATTGAAGTCAGTCTAAAAAGTATTTGAATTTATTGAAAGTTTTTAGAATTTGTTACAGAAACTGGATGCCAACCACCGTCACAAAAAACGCAGGTCATAACAATATGTCACCACTTTTGGTGGTGACATAATAACAATATGTCACCACTTTTGGTGGTGACATAATAAAAATGGTACCAACAAATTTTCATATAAGTCTTTGCTTTCTTACACCATTAGAGTAAAGCCTGTCCAGTAATTTTAAAACAAAATTTTGACAAAAATTCTTTCCTATCTTCAATACAATTATAACTCATACAACAACACTATACAGTAATAAATTGTATTTATCTATCTGGATTGGTTTGGGTTAGCATGATGACGTGTCTCAATTTTCAATCCACGTAGAAGAGATACTTATACAAGATCAATATACGTATATTATAAACTTTTCCTATTTCTGGCAAATGGGAGACTATTTTGAATTTCACAGAGCATTAATCTAAAAAAGTTATCCACCGTGTTTTCTTCTCTAAAATACTTTCAATTAGAAGATATAACACATCCCATTGTTAATAAAAATCTAGTCAAGCTTTGTGAATGCATTGGCAAAATCAAAACAAAAATGGCAACCTTTTTGAAAATGGGCTTTCAAATTGAATATTCATTGTTTATTTATTGCATCATCCTCATGAGAGAATACATTTTTTACATACATATATATATATGTATATTGTTTTGGAAAAAAATAAAGAAACAAACAAATCATAAGCAGAGCCAACACTTTGCTAATATCCAGCCAGTAAGGCTGCCAGTAGGTGTCATAATTTGGGCCTGCTTTCACATTATTTTGCAGTTTGTTCATATAAATCATGAACGAAAACACTATCAATATCCAGTTACTGTATGGGAAAATGGATAAATCTAAACAAACATATATTACACTTTAACACAATAATCTAACTGTGGTGTCAAAAGTTCAATAATTATTAAGCAAGTGATAAGGACAATAATTATTTATTTTGCAGCTAATTAATATATCATAACAGAGAGATGTATAGAATTCTAATGCTCAAAACAAAAACAATGACAATATCAATAATAATAGAAATGCAAAACATGATCATTAGCAATATGAGACTTGAGCCTCATTAACTTAATTTGATTTGAGTCAGACTTTTGTTGCATATGGATAGTTACCAACCCTGCAAACCGCAGATATGATCAACTAAGACTGAATGGTGATAATAAAGAATAAACACTTATTTGTTTCATGCACCCCACAAGGATAAAGAATAAGGATATATTACTAACACAACAATTTTTGTATTTGGTTACAAAAGTATAAAGCTGGACGCTAAATGTTGAATGCCAACAGCTGATAAATCATGTATTTTACAATAAATTATTCAAATTCAATTTTACAATAGATAATTCAAAATTAAATTCAGATAAATTGTGGAAATCTACCAAGGCGGCCATGTACATACTTTGCAATTTGCTATTTGAATTTGAAGAAAAATGTTCTATCAGATCAGGTTAGTTCAATGATCAACATAATAACTGTCACAATTCCAACATAAACAGACACTAATTTCATAACAAAGAATGTTAGGATAAACAAAAAACAATGGAAAGCTTGCAATGACACTTGTTAAAAGAGACAAGTTGTTATTTACAAACTACATTTGCATTCAGGGGACATTTGCTCCCGAGCATTTCCTTAAGTATTCTTAAATTCATTAATAAATATTCTTGATATTTTCCATGGTTATACAACAATGGACAAAAGCAAAGAAATTCGCTTCAAGTTACAACCATTATATTTACCTTATATTTTTTACTTATACTGATATAGCATATAACATGTTTTAGTTACTTATCTATAATGTCTTTAAACTGATTTATGCTTTTAAATGTGTTGTCAAACGTATGGAAGAACCATGTATTTGTGTTCTGCTGTATTAAAGCATTTCCCATAAATAAAGAATTAAAAAATAAAAAATAAAATAAAATAGTATAGGTCTATGAATCACAATTGATTGAGTCAAATGCTTTGATTCTTTTCACACATATTAAAAGAGTTTGTAAAATAAATAAAATTCAACAAAAAAAACAACTATATAAATAATTTTGACTTGCATAAGCACCTACTTGGCTATATATCATTCCAATACATTTATAGTTTTTCACTAATAATAACCAGAACAACGGCAACGCCAAAGCGTAGCGAATCCCATCGAACAGAAATGGCTGGCATTTTTACAAACGAATAGCAAATATCATAAAACAACACACCAGAAAGGCCACCATTTTCAAAATGGTTGCTCACTAGCCAAGTTGTCATCAGAAGAAATAATATGCTTTAAAGAAGCCACCTCTAAAATATTTGAAAAATCGCACACGTACTTGTAAAATAACACACATAAAAATGGTGGCTATTTTTCAAAATGGCAGACTCACGGGTTACCATCGAATAATTTTGGCAACGTACCGGAGAACGACATTTTACTAAGAAATGGCAATAATTTAGCACAATATATTTTTTAACTAGAGTTCTATTTTGATTTTGACAAAAGTAAGTATTCCATGCAATAACTATTTCATTCATGAGTTTGTAGGAATTCTGTTGGAACCCAGTTCTGATCAAGTACGAAGTTATTGAAATCGGCGCAGACGGACTTTACTCCGAAAGATGGTTTTTCGATTATAACTTTTCACAACATTTAAGTATAGACTTTTGAAAAAAGTACAGAATAGTCCTTATACTTTTGAATAATTCTGTTATTTCTGATTCACACGACTCTGATTTGTTTAATTAAAAAAAAGTTTTAAAAATATTACTTAGGAACGTAACCGGAGCTGGGAACGTAACCGGAGCAGATCAGTTGAATTATTTAATCAAAAAATTAAAATATATGATTTAAAGCACATATACTTATTTAAAAACATACGGGATTGTTCGAATGCGTATTTATTAATATATATGCTTTAAATCATATATTTTATTTTTTTAAATTATATAATTCAACTGATCTGCTCCGGTTACGTTCCCAGCTCCGGTTACGTTCCTAAATAATATTTTTAAAACTTTTTTTTTAATTAAACAAATCAGAGTCGTGTGAATCAGAAATAGCAGAATTATTCAATAGTATAAGGACTATTCTGTACTTTTTTCAAAAGTCTATACTTAAATGCTGTAAAACGTTATAATCGAAAAACCATCTTTCGGAGTTAAGTCCGACTGCGCCGATTTCAATAACTTCGTACTTGATCAGAACTGGGTTCCAACAGAATTCCTACATACTCATGAATGAAATAACCATTGCATAGAATACTTACTTTTGTCAAAATTAAAGTAGAACTCTAGTTAAAAAATATATTGTGCTAAATTATTGCCATTTCTTAGTAAAATGTCGTTCTCCGGTACGTTGCCAAAATTATTCGATGGTACCCCGTGAGACTACTCCCCAAAGTTTTATTAGACAATGTGCCATGCTTAAAGTATTCACATATCAAATATGAACAAAATCGCTCCACTACTTTTCGAGTTATAGTAAAATCGTTAAAATGGTGGCCATTTTTCAAAATGGCCACCTTCTACCAAAAGTGTCATTAGAAATAGACAGTTTTCAAAATGGTCGTCTTGTACCAAAAGTGTCATAGGACAGAGTGTCATGCTTATAGTATTCACATACCAAATATGAACAAAATCGCTCCACTACTTTTCGAGTTATAGTAAAATACATTAAAATGGCGGCCATTTTTCAAAATGGGCACCTTCTACCAAAAGTGTCTTTAGACAGTGTGCAATGCTTATAGTATTGACATACCAAATATGAACAAAATCACTCCACTATTTTTTGAGTTACAGCAAAAATCGTAAAATGACAAGTAAGGGCCGCCATTTTTCAAGATGGCTGCCATGTGCTTCTTAAATATCTACATTTGTAGCATTATTATTGTCCTTTATAATTTTTTTACATTTAAAACATATTGCTATTACAGTTTTACATATTGCACCTAAATTACTGTAAAATCGTCACTAAAATGGCCGTCATTTTGAAATGAGCGGCCATTTTGAAAATCGGCTTTTGAGCAGAAATTCTACCCCCATAGGCTATATTTGTACAAAATATGAACAAAATCGGGCCAACGGTATTTGAGTTATTGGCCGGACGGACGGATGGACGGACGTACGTACGGACGTACGGACGGACGGACGGACGGATGGACAGACGGACGGACGGACGGACGGAGGCGTTCCCTATATCCCTCCGAACTTCGTTCGATGGGATAATAATAATAATAAGGCAGGAATGTAAAATGGGCATTTACATGTAATTAAGAGGATTTCTTCAGATTAACATGTTTGAAGCAAAAAGGATCCATACCCATTAGTGTGCCTATAAGGACTTAGAAATTTTTGAGTGTGCTTTGCAAGGGTTCACAAACTTTTTTTTACATGCCTTGGGGTCCCCTACAAGAATCTAGGTGTTTTGGACACAATTTGCCTTGGCCGTAGTACTAACTGGAAAGCTTGCAATGACACAAAATAAATAAAATTCAACAAAAAACCTCTAAAATAAGGTCAACATTTTGACCTGCATAAGCACCTACTCAACTATCATTCCAATACATTTATAGTTTTTCACTAATAATGTACATGTAATTATATGAGGAAATTGATGAATGTAAGCAGTTCTACTGAATCTAACAGACCAGATGGTGTAAGTACAGAATGCATTGCATTTCAAACTGCATGCAGATCACCTGAATTTGGAATTACATTAACTTATATCTAATTTTTTCAAATAATCCTGAGAATCTAATAAAAAAATTACACGTACATTGTAAACAACTTTAAACAGTTAAAGAATTATATTTTTGCTGAAATCACTTCTTGTAATTTCAAGTTAAGTAAAAACTGTGAAAAAAACTTTGATGTAATCCCAGCTTGACCAGGTCATGACTGGGTCGGAGACTTTATATGCTACCATGCCTGTTTTTCTATAAGCCAGTAGCTAGCCAGGGCAGAAGCAATGTGCTTATGAATCAAAATTTAAGCAGTTTAGTGATATATAATATTGTAGCATGTGCCGCGTTGTACATGGTGATGATTGTTAGAATATTATTGTTAAGAAATTTAAATGGTGGCGCCATCTGGAATATTGTGTAATTGTAAATTGTAAAATGGATTCTGGGATATATAGACAGGAATAAGTCGTACATAGTGGTACGGACTGTGAAACCTTGTATAAGTATTAGAATAAGGGGTTTATAAGTAAAAAGTGATTTGTACTTAGGTTTATTAGCAAAAAGATGCAGGATTTAAGTTCTTCACATTTGTAAATTGCAACAAGAACAATATGCACCCATAGGCGGGTAAATGTACAGTTATATGAAATTCGCCACTAAATAAGTGAATTTATTGTCACACATAGGCGTGTGCATGTACATGCATATGTTATTGATGCAATAAGGTGGAGTTTCAAAGTTACTTCTGTTTGTAAGATTGAGTATTGCAGAGTTTGCTAAATTTGATATGAAACTAATGTGAATGCATTCGGGCATAAATTATAATGGCAGGATCTCTGTAGTGGAAAGCTGAATTTAAACACCTTATAGGGTATAAGTAGGAAAATCAGGATGCAACTACTACACTAAGGGCTGATACTGAGCCGGAGTAGATGCTTTAATTTTACTGGTGGTGACGTTATGCAATATGCCCAGACAGGATCGGGGCATAATATCTGGATAAGGAGGACTTCAGCAACCTGCAGGAATTCATATTGGAATTCTTAGATTCAAATCTCTCATCAAATAGATCAATTCACTGACAAATATTATTTTATGTGCATTATATACAATTTATTTACAATTCCCCGCCCCCCATTGATTACATGTTGGCTTACATCTCGTGTTAAGTTCTCAGCAGATTCTCAGAATACAGGAATTGGTGTCTAATCTGGTCAGTGTTAGAGAAAAGAATCTCCTATCTTATTCCCGGGCTGTATTTAAATATGCCGCCAAACTAGAGACGAAATAATTCCAAGTTCACAGATCACGCATGCGTATATGTACAATTATTCATATGGTCCTTCCTTGCGCATGCGTAACTTTATGATTAATTTTAATATTGCGACTTGCGCATGCTCAGCTTTATAATAAATTCTAACATTCTGCCTTGCGCATGCGCATGCGTTAAGTTAAAGAAAATGGCGGCGCCCATGGAAATATTAAGAATTATGAATTTTTGTCATACATTTGAATATTTGAGACATATACTGACTAGAATGATAGTTAAATACAATAATAAAGATAGAGAATGGAACATTAAATTGAGAGGCACTAAAAATTATACTGTAGAATACGCAATGACGATAAAATGACACTTAGAATAGAAATTTAGAGCTAGAAATTATTGAGATGAAAAGTAATTAATGGAAACTCAAAGAACGAAGGTAAGGAACGGGAGGAAATGTAACACAGAGATAATATTATTCATTCTAATACCCTGCAAATGCTACATTGCCCCCCTCAAAAAAACTCTTCGTCTCGAAGTACCTAAGAAATCATTAATGTTCACTAATAGAATGTAAATTAATAAATGTCACTAGGCGATGCCTCTTCTTTGTTGGTTGTAGTTGTGTTGTTGGTTGTAGTTGTGTAGTTGGTTGTGTTGACTTCAATTTATTTAATGTTCAATGTTCATTAGGTTTACCAAACACACTTGTGAGTATTTGTTTGGTTCTTTCCTTCATCATGTTGCACTGGATACCCCTGCTCCGGGTGTCTGCAGGGGTGTTTATAAGCTGAGTCTCAGGGATAACCTTTGAATTCAATCTCCAGGTTATTTCTATTTCACCATTTTTGAAGGTCACGGATTCCTGGCGGGAGACCCCGGGGACAAGGTCCACCCTACGGTTGGGCTGCTGCATAGCTGTGAGCCGGATCTTGGCCATTTCTCTGGAGGTATTTGTATTGAGATGACCTTGGGCAGAGGGCGCCCCCAGGCCAAACAATCGAGGATCTAGTTGGAACTGTTCCCCTGCTCTGAGTGGGGTAGAGCGCTCCAGGGGAATGACCTTCCATGTTGGACGTTCGGGTTGGGTGAACACCTCCTCGGGCTCAGCTGGGGAGTCCGCAATCCCTTCAGGGATTTCTTGCATGGCTTCCATTAAGCTTTGGAGGGCTGGGTCTAGCTCCCCCAGGGCCGCCCTCTGGTCTGTCGCAACGGCAACCCTGGGTGCGACGACTTCAGACGCCTCCTCTGCTGCTTTTATCTCATCCAGGACACTGTCCAGTTCTGCCTCAAGGGCGGGGTCCAACAGTCCCAGAGCCGCCCTCTGGTCTGGGATGATGGCAACTCTGGGCATGGTCCCGGCCCCCTCTTGGCTGTGGTTGGTTATCACAACACGCCTCTCATCCTGCACGATTGAGAGGATCTCCTGTGGGTTTATGGCTGTCAGGTCGTCCTCTTCGAACCCGAAGTCCAGTCTCGCGGGAGACTGAAGGGGACTCAGGCTTGGATGCTCCAACACCGGTGAATTACTGGCAACTGGAATCGGCATAACTGCCTCTGTTGTGGCTGCAGCAGTTGGCATAATTGCCTCTGTGGTTGTGTGAGGGTGTTTACGTAACAGATGGGCCTTCAGGCCTTTCAAGTACTGGAATTTTTGACCGCAATTGTCCTTGTGGCAGGTCAGAGGCACTCGGACCTTTGGGTGCCTCCTCTGTTTGTGAGCATGCAACAGTGCCAAGGTGTTGAAATCAAGGTGGCACTTCTCGCACTGCACCGTCTTTTGCTTGGATGCGTTAGTCGGTCTCCCAACAGGCCTTCTCTCCGGATAGGTTCTTTGTGGATAGTATCTCTCAGGATAGGATCGCTCAGGATAAGTCCGTCTAGGCTTGGACTTCACAACATGAACCCTGGATTTTAGGACGTTTCCTTCCCTGGAAACATAGGTAAAAGCATCATAAGAATGTGTATCAATTTTATCATATCAGCATATACACATTACATGTATGTTATTCTATTGATTTTTTTTTTAAAGTTAAATTGAAGTTTTCCATTTGTGAATTCCCTCAGGTTTTGGCTGGATATTCAGGACATAATAATATATACTGGAGCAGCATACATATATCATGACACAAAACAAATGTTTTATGATATATGACATTTATTTGCAATTAATACAGTTTGTTTATTTTATTTCAGATCTAACTGGACAGGAAAATACAATCAGAATTCATCGGAGTGCCACTAATCCCTGCAGTAGGTTCTGGTAGGATCGGCAAATCAGGTCATTCTGTATGAGTCATTAGGGACGCTGCTGGATTTTGATTGGTCTCTGGAAGTGTCCCCAAAAATGGCTTCAAACGATTATGGTGCACAATCTTCATTTTCCCATCTCGGGATATTTCAAATACTAGATCTGATAATTTCTTCTGTATTTGATAAGGTCCTTCCCACTTGTTCTGTAACTTTGGTGACAGATTTGGCTTTCTTACTGCAGAGTGCAACCATACTGGATCACCAACTTGATATTTGTTGTAAACAAGCTTGTTGTCATAGTGGTGTTTTTGTTGTCTTGCAGATTTCTGGAGATTGTGACGAGCCACTTCCTCCACCATCCAGAGAGCGTCTCTAGTTTCAGACACATAGGTCTGATAAACAACCGGATTGTGGCCCTTTGGTGCAGGTCCCAGGAGCAGATCAATAGGTAACCGCATTTCTCGGCCAAGCATAAGCCTCGCGGGAGAAAATCCAGTGCTCCGATGGATAGAGGAACGATATGAAAAGAGGACCCATGGAAGCTTCTCATCCCAATCACGTTGGTGCAGGGAAATCACCTTCCGGAGCATCAGTTGAAGGGTGCGGTTCATTCGCTCCAAGCACCCATTTGTCTGGGGGTGCATCGTTGTAGTCCTCTTTTTATCGACACCAATCAGAGTGCAGAGTTCTTGGAAGAGTTCTGCCTCAAACTGGCGACCTTGATCTGTTAACAACTGCAAGGGTACACCGAACCGAGTGATGTAGGAGTGGATAAGTGCTTCGGCTACCGTCTCCGCCGTGATGTCAGCCATGGGTACTGCTTCAGGCCACTTAGTGAATGAATCCTCAAGTACCAGGATGTACTTGTTATCTTGATAGGTTGGAATCAGCGGTCCCAGAATATCCACACAGAGGCGTTCACCAGGAGCTCCGACAGGAAAGGACTTCAGTGGAGCTTTAGGCGCCCGGTTCGGATTATTAGCAGCTTGGCATCTGGAACATTGGTTACACCAATTCTCAATATCGGATCTGTAATTAGGCCAATAGTATCTGGAACGGACCCTCTCAATAGTTCGAGTGATTCCCATATGTCCCATTGCACCATGTAAGGCATCAAAAGCTGGACGCTGGAGCTTCCTGGGAAGGATGGATTGCAGTAGGGGTTCATCGAGTGAGGTCCTAGCCTTCCTACAGAGAATTTCATTCTCCACCACCAGAGCATCAAACTGTCCCCATAGTTGCTTGTGCAATTGACTAAGAGGAGCAATTTCATCTTGAGAGGGTCTGGTTTTGGATTTCACCCAATTGCAGACTTCACTCAGCACTGGATCGGTGCGGTTTTCCTCTGCAAGACTGGACATTGGAAGCAACCAATTCTCTTCAGCCCGTCTGGTGGTTACTCTGTTTATGGTAAGCTCAGCATTCTTCTCTGATTTCCGGACACACTTGTCACAGGGGCCACATGGAATACGGGAGAGGCCATCAGCATTTCCATGTTTGACGCCCGGTCTATGCTCAATGGTGTAGTCATACGTCCCCAAAATCTCAAGCCACCTGGCCATTTGACCTTCAGGAGATTTAAAGTTGATCAACCAACGAAGACTACTATGATCGGTGCGGATCTTGAAGTTTACACCATATACATAATGATGAAAATTCTTCAGCGCTAAGATGATGGCCAGGAGCTCACGGCGAGTTACGCAATAGTTACGCTCCGGTCGGCTGAACGTATGACTGTAGTAAGCAACAGGCCTCTCAGCTCCATCAAGAATTTGGGACAGCACCGCACCAGCACCAAACGCACTTGCATCAGTGTCAACAATGAACGGCACCCCCATCACAGGATACGCTAATACTGGAGCGGTGAGGAGAGCTTCTTTCAGGTCATTAAAGGCAGACTGGCATTCTGGAGACCAGACAAATGTGGTGTCTTTCTCTGTCAGTCGCACCAATGCTTTGGCTCTATGGGAGAAGTTCCTCACAAAGCGGCGATAATAAGCACACGTTCCCAGGAAACTTCTAACTGCTTTGACACCGCATGGCACAGGCCATTCTTTAACAGCTTTAACCTTATCAGGGTTGGGCCGGATACCATCTGCAGATACTTGATGTCCAAGAAATGATACTTCTTCAGTCAGGAAATTGCATTTCTTTGGAGCAATTTTCATTCCGGAACGGTGAATTCGCGACAACACTTCTTCAAGGCGGTCCAGATGTTCGTCAAACGTGCGGGAGTATACAATGATGTCGTCGATGTAAACCAGGCAAGTCTCCCAATGAAGGCCCTGTAGCACTTTCTCCATCAAACGCTCGAATGTGGCAGGGGCGTTACATAACCCAAACGGCATTACAGTGAACTGATACAGCCCATTGCCAGCAGAAAATGCGGTCTTCTCAGCATCGTTCGGGTCCATCGGTATTTGCCAAAATCCGCTCGCCATATCGAGAGAGCTGAAATACCGACTGCCTGAGAGAGCATCTAGGGAGTCATCAATTCGGGGTAATGGATAACTATCCTTCTTGGACAGATCATTGACCAAACGGAAATCTATACAGAAGCGTACAGTGCCATCTTTCTTCTTACACAGGACTACTGGAGATGACCAAGGACTAGTAGATGGCTCTATTATCCCGTTCTTCAGCATACGGTCCACCTCAGCATAGGCAACTTCCCGCTTGTGTAGTGGTAATCTTCGGGGAGGTATCTTCACGGGTCGACTGTTTCCAGTATCTATGGAGTGAGTTACCAGGTCAGTCTTACCCAAATCAGCCTTGTCTTTAGCAAAAACATGACAGTATTTCATCAGAAGGTTACGTAATTTCAGCTTCTGTTCTGCATTACAGTGGATGGAACTGCGATCATACAAGTCTCGAAGATGGTCAGGCAGATCACCCCCTAGGTTCACAGCTCGGATATTACAATCAGCAGACTCACCCGGAGAAACGCATTCTTCCAGGCATTCAACAGGTTCACAAAGGGCAATTGTTGATTCTGACTGGATTTTCAGTGGTTGACTGGTTATGTTGGCTACTCTGACTGGAACCAGGGGGGAGTGTAAATCAATGACACTTCGTGCCACCAGAAACTCCCGGTCAAGATGAGATGGAGGTTCTAAGACACCAACACTCCCGGAAATATCACCATGGCAACACAGGCGACCTTCAAGGATTGTCTCCGTCATAGGAGGTATCACGGTGGAACCAACAGCGCATACCTTCATTCCTTCATTAATCTCACTTTCAAGGAGGCACTCCAAACCAATCCCATCAATGAACAGCTTCCCTGGACCAAAATCAAGTAGACAGGAATGCTGTGACAGGAAATCATAGCCTAATATCACTGGAGACTTGATGTCAGCAACGATCATCTGAACTTCTACGCTTCGATCATCAGACAATTTCAGGGAAAAATCAGCAGTGCCCACGGTGCGGATAACACCATCATTTGCAGATCTCAGACATTGTGGACTCATACTTAGAATAGGCCTCAGGGGGGATTTGAGAGTCTGGTATACCTCAAGGCTCATAATACTGGCCTTGGCACCGGAATCTATCAAACATTGGATTGTTTCACCACAAATAACAACTGGCAAACACAATCCATCGTATTTGGTAGAACTCTTGGATATATTTACATGGTTAACATTACTTATGATGTTGATCCCCTCTGGATGGAGGAGCATCTCATGGCCTATTGAGACACTCCGGCTGGGTTTAAAGAAGCTTTACTAGAGTTAGGCCATAAATGGGCAGGTCTCTTTTCACGATGATCAGCCTTTATGTGCCCCTTCTCTAAATCATCCTTCCGGATACGGCACCTAGCAACCTTGTGGAACAGGAGGCCGCAGTAGAAACATCTATCTGAAGCAGGCTTTCGATCAAGGAACTGGGTCATTCTCACGGCTAGGTCCTTAAAGGCTGAAGTTGACATTGGATCAGGCTCGGATGACTGAGGATCACTGATGGTGACGGCACGGATCGGTGTGGATGAATCTTCGGCAAACCCTTCCATCTGTAGGGCTGCATCCAAAGCTTGACGCATGGTAGTCGGGGCTTTGGAGAATATGTGGTAACTCATTTGGCTATCGGTAACTTTGAGGGCATGTTTGAAGGAATCAAGAGCAAACTGGTCCCTGGACTCCTCAGGTAAGTGAGGATAACCTAAATTGGCTAAGCGTAAAATGTCATAGCCAAGGGAATTGACGCTTTCACCCTTGTTTTTCAGCCTCTTTCTCAATTGATTTCTGTATTTTTCTTCTTGGTGGTTGGGATTGAACAGGTCATTCAGGCAGCTAGATACATAATGGTAATCTAGTTTACGTGCAGGTTCGATGATGTCATACACCTTCTGGGCGTCCCCTTCAAGGCACGTCAACAGCTCAACTGCACGGCGGGGGTCATCCCAACCATTGACATCTGCTATGGTATCAAAAGAGAACTTGAACGTTCGCCAACTGGATTTTCCATTATATGGACGGACTTTGTGTTCTTTGCGGGAGGGGGGTTGCATAGTGGCAACAGGCAAAAATGGTGTCTGTTTTACTAATGGAACTTCTTTGGGATGAACTCTATGCAACTTGGGGTTGGACATCACACATTGGTCATGACTGGAATTTCTTTGGTTGTTTTGGTTATTCTGGTTGTTAGTAGTATACATATTATTTACAGCTGCAGCATTTGTATCAATAACACTAATTGTATTTACAGGTGGAGTATTTACATGAGAGACAAAGTTCAGCAAACTTCTTGGAGTGCTCACAACCAATGGAGCAGATACAGCAGTAGTGGTGCTTGGCATGCTGGAAACTGGAGGGACATTGCTGTCCGTTAAATAACTTGAATTGGAGGCTGCTGAAGTATTCTGGAGATTTTGTGGTGTATTACCAGCAGATGCATGATGGCTGAGTAGTTTACTCTCTTCTGCTGAAAGTTCTGCTTTCCACTGTTGTATTTCAGATAACCGCTTGGATAGCTCTTCCTCCGTGATGTTACACCCACCATCATCTCCATGTTCCGCAACAGTGTCATGTTGATCACCGTCAGCAAGATCCTGGATTTCAATGGAATCAGCATCGCTGTTAGTAGGTTTCTGGATCATCATGGAGATTTCACTATCGACTCGGATTGCCTGAGTCTTCTCAGCCATCTATAAAACAAAACTAAGATGACCTTCGGCGACGCGATTGAAACGGCAAAATTCACCGCACTGGTTAGGGATCCCACCACTGCCACCAAATGTAGCATGTGCCGCGTTGTACATGGTGATGATTGTTAGAATATTATTGTTAAGAAATTTAAATGGTGGCGCCATCTGGAATATTGTGTAATTGTAAATTGTAAAATGGATTCTGGGATATATAGACAGGAATAAGTCGTACATAGTGGTACGGACTGTGAAACCTTGTATAAGTATTAGAATAAGGGGTTTATAAGTAAAAAGTGATTTGTACTTAGGTTTATTAGCAAAAAGATGCAGGATTTAAGTTCTTCACATTTGTAAATTGCAACAAGAACAATATGCACCCATAGGCGGGTAAATGTACAGTTATATGAAATTCGCCACTAAATAAGTGAATTTATTGTCACACATAGGCGTGTGCATGTACATGCATATGTTATTGATGCAATAAGGTGGAGTTTCAAAGTTACTTCTGTTTGTAAGATTGAGTATTGCAGAGTTTGCTAAATTTGATATGAAACTAATGTGAATGCATTCGGGCATAAATTATAATGGCAGGATCTCTGTAGTGGAAAGCTGAATTTAAACACCTTATAGGGTATAAGTAGGAAAATCAGGATGCAACTACTACACTAAGGGCTGATACTGAGCCGGAGTAGATGCTTTAATTTTACTGGTGGTGACGTTATGCAATATGCCCAGACAGGATCGGGGCATAATATCTGGATAAGGAGGACTTCAGCAACCTGCAGGAATTCATATTGGAATTCTTAGATTCAAATCTCTCATCAAATAGATCAATTCACTGACAAATATTATTTTATGTGCATTATATACAATTTATTTACAATTCCCCGCCCCCCATTGATTACATGTTGGCTTACATCTCGTGTTAAGTTCTCAGCAGATTCTCAGAATACAGGAATTGGTGTCTAATCTGGTCAGTGTTAGAGAAAAGAATCTCCTATCTTATTCCCGGGCTGTATTTAAATATGCCGCCAAACTAGAGACGAAATAATTCCAAGTTCACAGATCACGCATGCGTATATGTACAATTATTCATATGGTCCTTCCTTGCGCATGCGTAACTTTATGATTAATTTTAATATTGCGACTTGCGCATGCTCAGCTTTATAATAAATTCTAACATTCTGCCTTGCGCATGCGCATGCGTTAAGTTAAAGAAAATGGCGGCGCCCATGGAAATATTAAGAATTATGAATTTTTGTCATACATTTGAATATTTGAGACATATACTGACTAGAATGATAGTTAAATACAATAATAAAGATAGAGAATGGAACATTAAATTGAGAGGCACTAAAAATTATACTGTAGAATACGCAATGACGATAAAATGACACTTAGAATAGAAATTTAGAGCTAGAAATTATTGAGATGAAAAGTAATTAATGGAAACTCAAAGAACGAAGGTAAGGAACGGGAGGAAATGTAACACAGAGATAATATTATTCATTCTAATACCCTGCAAATGCTACAATATAATCATTAACACAAGACCTGCCAAAACATATTTATATTTTAGTGTCACCAGGCTGGAATGTAAAATGGGCATTTACATGTAATTAAGAGGATTTCTTCAGATTAACATGTATAGCCAATTAGTTTATATATACATGAATATGGTTCATTTAAATGCACTAGTGAGTTTAGCAAAGCAGGATTACATCGGATATGAGAGTAAAAAGACCTTTTATGTGGAGGTTGCTTAAGAGGAAGATGGCTCCTTCATTAGCACATATAAACAAGTATTTCATCACACTTTGTGGTTTCATCTCAATAGGAGTGGTTTTGATGAATAACGATATATCTACAATATATACTAGATTTTTCAAGGTAATTTCTTGTTTACTTTTTTCATATTATATAATTCTACTTGCTCATTTTTGAAATATAATTTGTTCCAATAAAATGATAAATGAGGGGTTTTGTACACCTGCATGCTTTAAAAATGTAGGTGCCTATAGATGCACCTGTAGGCCTTTATTAATAATATATCTGGAAAAGACAGGTAGTACAGGTGCATTTGTCGCTATATTAATTTAGCAAGTAAACGACTAAAAAACTCTGGGTTTGGAGTTTTTCTAAATGCTAACTAATCTGGAATTTGGAAAAAGTTTTGCACCACTGGATAGCTAGTGCATTCTTTTTCAAAATGAAACTGGTTTTGTACTGTTAAATCTTTCCATCAAATTATTGTATTAAACTTCACTGACCCACTCACGTCTTCATGTGTTTTTGTGATATCTCATACGTCAATTAGGCGAGAAAGCACCATAGAAGAATTTTGAAATATCCAAGTATTGTGATTTTAGTACAGTATCTAGAAAATTACATTGTCTATTGCCTAAAATACAGTAAAACCTAGTGAACACCTAGCTGTCCCTTAGTGGACACCCTTCGTCAACACATAATATACTGACTTCGCTATAAATCACTCTCTGTAATGAACACCTACCCAGAGCAAACTCTAATATGCACTCTCCATTGGGATCTCCCTATGAGAAAAAATAATTCATTTGATTTTTCAAAATGATTATTCTGCTTTAATTATTACATTTATATGCACACTAGTATCTTGTTGACCTATATTCACTTATTAGGGTCATAACTCAATCATGAAGTGTAGAGGCATATATTCCAAACCAGGAAGTATTTTTGTGTCTGTCAAAATCCATTTGCATCCCTACATCTTATCCACATATGTTATACTACATAATGAAATATAATAGAATATTCTTTGGTTTTACAAAGTTGTATGATTTTTGATAAGTGTAAAAGTTGTTTTTGGAGCATTTTTCTATAGCCATTTTGTAGGGAAAAAAATGATGAAAAATCACAATCTTTTAATTTTAAGTATGACCTGAATCGATTGCAAACTTCATATTTGCACATTTGATGAGATAAACCAATTGTGTCATATTGTGAAATTAATAAGTTTGCAATCGATTCAGGTCATAGTGTATTTTTGGTATTTTTGTGATAATCGATGTAAATTAATGGCCTCTATTGGGATCTGCTGATATCCTCATGTTAAGTCAATGATGCACAGCCCCATGTAAGTCAATACAACCTTACTGAACTAAATGGCCCCAATCTCAGCCTATGTGTGCCCGAGCACTTTAATATTTTCAAAAGAGTTATATAACATTCTATTCTTCATGTTATGGCCTAGTCACATAGCCCGGCCGATGAGGTTACGATGAGCCAGCGATGCAATTTTCACCGAACTTGGCCGAACACCGGCCGGACATCCGTGGCATTTGTTGCTTAAAACCGCATCGGTGGTAGCTCGGTGAAATTTTAACTTCGGAGTTAAATTTCACCGGGCTCTCACCGAGCTCCCTCATCATGTCATCGCAGCCCCATCGTAACCACATCGGAAAACACGTCAGCCGGTGCATGGCCGACTATCGGCCGGTGTCCCGTGCATCTGAGACAACCAGAGGACGAGATTTTTTAACGGACAGCGGCCGAGCTCCGACCGAGCTCCGGCCGATGTGGGACAGAGCATCGGCCGGTCACTGTTCAAAGCCCGTTAACAACCTGGCCGGCGATCGCACGGTGTCCTGTTACCTGCTCGGGTACCGGCTGTATTCCTTCCGATGTCCGGCCGACCTCCGGCCGGTAGTTGCTGCCACATCGGCAGAAAAATCTACCATTTTGAGACAGACTCCGTACGGTCACCGGCCGGTGTTCGGTCGGTCTCCTGAAGATGTCCGTCACGTCACCGAGCCCTGCTTCCGATGAGGAGAGCTCGGTGGCACCAAAAAAATCCACCGAGCTCTACCGATGCCGGACATCGGCCAGGCTATGTGACTAGGCCATTACACCTAAGAATTATTTATTTTGACCATAGGCGTATTTGCCAATAAACGCACCTGTTCCTTTATATGGGCAAACTGCATCATTTATTTTCATTAACAGACTTTGAAGCTTTAATTCTAATTTAATTCTAACTACACTGGTATATTAAATAATCATATTTAATATTGTGATCTTTCAGTTTGGATCGGAATTGCCACACATTTCTTCAAACATCTCGAAAATTCTGAACAAAGTCTTCCAAGAGACTTGTAACAACACAAAGATACTATCCAATATGCCAGTGAACTCAATACCAATGATGCCTCCAGTGAGACCATATCCCATTGTGCTGGTTGTATCATTCAACAGATACAAGTATTATGATACCATTCCATACATAGAGCTACTCTATCGGGACTATTTTGAGAACATACTGTACTGCGGCCCCTCACAACCTCCAGAGGATTTGATGATCAAGTTCCAGATGTCATATGTTTTATTTGAACAGCCAGGCAATCAGCTCGATGGAGCTTATATATACAATTGCACAATGCAAGCCATAAATATGAATTATGATGCGAGGGGTATTTTATACATGTCTGATGATGCCCTTTTAAAAGTTGAATCCCTTGTAGATTATAATATGAGTGCAATTTGGCAATCAAATTATGTCTATGGAGTGAATGATAGGAGGGACTTACACTTAGCTAGTTATACTGATCAAGTAAAAGGCCCAAAAGAATGTGATGAAGAAAACTTCAAACTTCCTTGTAATAAAACACCTGAACAAATATGGTTTGGATATTTAAAAAAAGAAATTATAAACACTCACAACGAGTTATTGGCAAAGGTGACAATGGAACAAGAAACTGAGGATAAACTATTTACAAACTTTTTGCAAACTTTAGAAGAAATGTCAGGTGGAAAGATGCGTTATTTCAAAACAATAGTGGATGTTTACTACATCCCAAAGGGCTATTGGAAACAATTTTATAGGCTGGCTGAAGTTTTCCTTCAACACAAAATTTACATGGAAATTGCAGTTCCAAGTATTTTACGTGGAATCGAGAAAAATATAAGCGACCAACCAGTCACGCTACTTGAAGGTCGTCAATATGCCAGAAGTAAAATGGTGCCACTTTTATTCGAAAACAAAGAATGGTACTCTTGGCATCCATTTAAACTTGGAAAGATCCAAAGTGGAGACAACGATACAATACAAGCATATTGTTCCTTGTTTCATGGTAATTGGTATAGGAACCCTATAAACATTGAATGAGACTGATCAGCCAATTATACCAGTGCCAATTACAATTTTAGATTGGTCATTACTAAAATGGTTAGTCACGGCTAAAGTTAGGGAATGTACCAAAAGTCAATTATTCTGTACCCTGCGTGCAGAGTCTAGTTAAACTAGACGAAGCTCTGTTTTAAGAAGTGAAGTCGAATGAATGCAAAGGGTAATTATTTTACTTACTGCATGACATTTCCAAGGTTAAAATGGGCTCCAGCATGTTGAGGGTTAATGGCAATTGCTCTCCAGAAGTGGTCTTCAGCTTCTAGAGAGTTATTCAGTAAAGTTCCCAGGTTGTTGTGAGCACTAGCGTGTTTAGGGTATAATCTTGAAAGAGACTTGTTACAACACAACAATATTAACCAATATGCCAGTCAACCCAATACCAATGATGCCTTCAGTGAAACTATACCCAATTGTGCTGGTTGTTTCATTCAACAGATATTAGTATTATGATACCATTCCATACATAGAGCTACTATATCGGGACTATTTTGAGAACATACTGTACTGCGGCCCCTCACAACCTCCAGAGGATTTGATGATCAAGTTCCAGATGTCGTATGTTTTATTTGAACAGCCAGGCAATCAGCTCGATGGAGCTTATATATACAATTGCACAATGCAAGCCATAAATGTGGGACTGGTTATACCGGTGCAAAATATTACAAAAATATTATTTACTTATTATCATAATTCAATGTGACAATATCAGTCTTATCTTCAAAGGATCTTGTACACCTGCCATTATGATCTCCCCATGAACAAAAATAAATTCATCTGATTTTTCAAAATAAATATACTGCTTTTATTATTACATTTATATGTACACTAGTATCTTGTTGACCTATATTCAGCACTGTATTGATGAATGGGCCACTTTTTAGGGCAATATTCAATCATAAAGTGTACAGGGGTAGAGATGCCAAACCAGGAAGTCTTTTTGTGTCTGTCAAAATCCATTTGCATCCTACACATCCCTACATCTTATCAAAATATGTTATTAATTAATGAATCATAACAGTTTAATCTTTGGATTTACAAAGTTGTATGGGATTTCATAAGTGTAAAAGTTGCTTTTGAAGCATTTTTCTATAGCCATTTTGTAGGAAAAAAAATGATGAAAAAAATGAATAATCTTTTAATTTGAAGTATGACCTGAATCGATTGCAAACTTTATATTTGCACATCTGATCTGAAATACCATTTGTGTCATATTGTGAAATTATTTAATTTGCAATCGATTCAGGTCATAGTGTATTTTAGGTATTTTTGTGAAAATCAATAGAAACCAATGGCCTCCATTGGAATCTGATGGTATCCACATGTTAAGTCAATAGAACACATCCAATGTCAAGTCAATACACCCTTGCTGAACTTAATGACCCCAATCTCAGCCCATGTGGGGCCAAACGCTTAAATATTTTCCACAGTATTATGTAACATTGTATTCTTTATATTACACCTAAAAATGATTCATTTTGTTCATGGGGAGATCATAATGGCAGGTGCACTAGATCCTTTGTCTATAATAGTTTGCCTGTAAGGTTGGGCAAGCCGTCTTTTACGTTGATTGTATAAGATGTTGATTTTGCAAAGCTCTTATGGGCTAATTCTACAATATACAATTGTTGACCTCTCCAGAGGTCAACCGGCAAAATTGTATACCGAGACTGTAAACCGAGAAACTACTGTTGACAGAGACCGAAGGTCGAGGTCAACAGTGTTTCAAGGTTTACAGTCGAGGTATATGATTTCGATGGTTGACCGAATGGAGAGGTCTACAATTGTTTTGTTAGTCAGAAGAAACTAATAATACTCATATATATACGACAGTCATCAATCATGGCCTCATTTCACAATCTTTTCTACGAACCTGCACGCCAGCAATAATTTTTAAGAAAATCTGAAGACAGTGGAAGCTAAACTCTCTGTTTTCGGCACATAACTGCGTACTCACTAGTAAATTAATGTTAATTTTGTGTTTCTATTTGTATTGTTGCTATACCACGGGGTACCATCGAATAATTTTGGCAACGTACCGGAGAACGACATTTTACTAAGAAATGGCAATCATTTAGCACAATATATTTTTTAACTAGAGTTCTATTTTGATTTTGACAAAAGTAAGTATTCCATGCAATAACTATTTCATTCATGAGTTTGTAGGAATTCTGTTGGAACCCAGTTCTGATCAAATACGAAGTTATTGAAATCGGCGCAGATGGACTTTACTCCGAAAGATGGTTTTTCGATTATAACTTTTCACAACATTTAAGTATAGACTTTTGAAAAAAGTACAGAATAGTCCTTATACTTTTGAATAATTCTGTTATTTCTGATTCACACGACTCTGATTTGTTTAATTTAAAAAAAAGTTTTAAAAATATTACTTAGGAACGTAACCGGAGCTGGGAACGTAACTGGAGCAGATCAGTTGAATTATTTAATCAAAAAAATTAAATTATATGATTTAAAGCACATATACTAATTTAAAAACATACGGGATTGTTCGAATGCGTATTTATTAATATATATGCTTTAAATCATATATTTTATTTTTTTAAATTATATAATTTATTCGATGGTACCCCGTGTATACTCGTCGTGTAGAAAAGTCAAAATATCACTTTCATCAACGTGTACAAAATGTCCGACTACCATGTTTTTCTGTAAACATTGTGACGTCATATTTCCCATAATTCACAAGTGTAGTACAGTAACATACGCGGTCAATAATATGATATCCCATGATGCACAAGTGATGTACAGGCAAAAATGTTGACCGCTAATTGACCAATCAGATGCGAGTATTTACACTGAGGTACTAACAATATGTACTGTAACATATATGTAAGGGTGCCAATATGTAGTCCAGTATATAGTAAACAAAGGAGTATTTTGGTCAACTCAATACATCTGATAAACACTACATGAAGTGTTTTCTATGCAATGATTATATACAGGCACTTATTCATTATTACTGCGGATTTCAAAGCCTCCAAATTGTGTGTATAGAGCATGCAATGTTTTTCAGTTTCAAGCAGGTTTTAGTACATTCTGACCAATAATTGTATTTTCAGACTTATTCATTTCATGATTATGTAATACTGACCTACTTATCTGCCTAGCATATCTTTCATTTTGTATTGACGCTCGGTATAAATATATAATACTTTTGTTCTTTCATATCGGTAGCACGTTGGCCTCAAGGTTAATGTGCCTAGCTTCCATGCTCTAGGTTAGTCGATCGAGACCCGTTCATGTAGAACTTTTTGATTTGCTTGTTGTCAAGATATAATAAGTAGAGCAAAATCCCAAAAAAGTAGATCAAAAATACTCCATAGGAGTATAAAATTGTCACCAGGATTCCGAAATGAGACGAATGTTAACTCGTTAAATTTCGGTTGATAAAATAGGTCAGAAAATCCAGATTAACCCGAACCTTACAAGGTTCGGGAATTTTCGTCATAAGAAGTAGATCAAAAATACTCCAATGGAGTATAAAATTGTCACCAGGATTCCGAAATGAGACGAATGTTAACTCGTGAAATCTGGGAAGATAAAGTAGGTCAGAAAATCCGGATTAATCCGAACAAGGTTCGGGAATTTTTGTCATAAGAAGTAGATCAAAAATACTCCCAATGGAGTATAAAATTGTCACCAGGATTCCGAAATACGACGAATCGAATCGGCAAACTTCGGTACAATAATGAAGTGCAAAACCGAAATGATCCGAACAACGTTCGGATAAAATCGTGAAACAGGTGTCAGGGGCTTCCCCTCATCTTTCCCGACATGGTTCTAAAAGCCTTATATGGATCTATCACGTGACATTCAAAATGACATTCCTATATGGTTCTATGGGCCTTATATGGATCTTTCGAACACGTGACCTAATACCAAATCAAAATCAAAATTTTACCTTGACCATTGGATGGGATTTCATAGAAAATATCCAAGAAAACATATCCTTTTGATCCTTAAATCACTTAAATTTGATCATTTTATCTTCACCCCTTGATGGAATTTTATGAAAGAAGTCATGAAAACACATCATCATTTAAGGGTTTTCACCTAAATTAGCTCGTTTTATCTTGACCCTTCAATTGAATTTCATGGAAAATATTTTATGATTATGATCATGTTATGATTTGTATTTGAATAAGACCGTTTCATCTAAATACTTGGACAATATTTCATAGAAAAGGCACTTAAAAAATATTGGATTGGATTTACAGGATTTGCCTTAATTTATCAATGAAATGTAAGTATTAGATTAACTTTCAAATAGGGTTCTATTTTAACTTTTTTTATTGAAATTAATACGAGGCAGGACTCGCTCTCTAAATACATGTAGTGAATAAAAATTCAACCCTTGGATGTGATTTCATTGAAAAAAAAATATGACAAGTCCAGAATCAAATGATTTGTCCAGAACCTCTTAAGATCCTGTTTTAGTAAACATTCTTGATATTTTCCATGGTTATACAACAATGGACAAAAGCAAAGAAATTCGCTTCAAGTTACTACCATTATATTTACCTTATATTTTTTACCTATACTGATATAGCATATAACATGTTTTAGTTACTTATCTATAATGTCTTTAAACTGATTTATGCTTTTAAATGTGTTGTCAAATGTCTGGAAGAACCATGTATTTGTGTTCTGCTGTATTAAAAGCATTTCTCATAAATAAATAAATAAATATAATAGTATAGACCTATGAATCACATTGATTGAGTCAAATGCATAGATTCTTTTCACACATATTAAAAGTGTTTGTAAAATAAATAAAATTCAACAAAAAAAAACTACCGTATTCTCTGTAATTAGCGCCCAGGGCGTTTAGAAAATTGAAAATACATTATTTAGATCATTCTAATAAGCGCCCATGTATGAAAGAAATCAGAAATCCCGAGGAATTTCATGTATGGCAATTTTTCTTGACAAGAATGCATTTTCTTCAACATATTTTTATAATAATATGACAAGTGCTGTTATTGGAGAGAATACGGTAAAGATCGCTTAGACAATATTGACAGTGGTTGAAGACCCGTCTATGTCTAATTTAATTCCGGCACGCCCACTTTGTCATTATCGCCGATTACCTTCAATATTTCCACTAGAGACTGCTGGATATCGATCTAAAGTTATACATTATTTCTAATTTGATGAGAGATCATCATTATTCGTGCAAAAGTCGTGTAAAAGTCGAGAAACATTAAAAAGAAACCAGAAAGTTCACGACCTTGACATGCGCAGAACATCTGCGCAGTAGCTTTTGAAATTTCTGAATGCCGATAAAGAACAATTCCTTCATT